CTATATATTCTGAGTGGTATTTGAAAACGTTATCATTGTTCATAGCTTTTTTTGAGCACTTCGTTTTTCTTATCATTATTAAATTTATCAATCGTGTTCTCTCTCAGGTGTTTATACCTTTCACATTCATAAATAAAGTGATCTAGATTTTCTTTACATCCTACATATCCTTCTGCTCTACAAAATCTCTCTGGATGCCATTGAGCTAACTCTGGTGTCCATGTTACTCCACCTGTCTTAATTCTTAACATCAAGTGCATTGTCTCATGTTTTATATCTTTTAACGTCTTGCTCTTCTTGATTAAATTGTTCTTGGTAAATTCGTTTTCTTTTGCGATTGCACATATCTGTCCTTTTTCCTTGTCTTTGTTTCTCTTGTAATAATAATCTATAACTTCTTTATAATATTCAGGTTCTAACCACCATTTGGCTTTTGTTCTTGCCACCCATCTCATGCTATTTGCTATCCATGTAATTATTTTCCCTTTCCTATTGCAACTCTGTTGTCTTTATTTGGTCACTGATTACTCTTGTTGAGTCCGCCCACTTCCTAAGTCCTCTGTACCTTGCACTGGGTGACAGGATATATTTTCCTTCCACTTGGTGTCACTCCGGAATCACGTTTCAACCAAGTGACTAACGTTGCTAATTCGCGTTGAATAACGCGAATAACGCGAATTAGCAACGCTGTCACAAGCCTGAGCTATGGTAAAAAAAAATGATGTCAAGTAGGGGGCCACAAAATATCGTTCCGCGGGCCTCAATTGGCCCGCGGGCCGCGAGTTTGAGACCCCTGGTCACTCTACACACTCCTGGGGGTGCCCCGCACTCTGAATAGATAGAAGAATTAGAAAGATATTTTGTCATTGTCACCAGTACAACGAAATTTAAAGTGCTCACCAGTCAGTACATCATTCATAAATTTAAATAAAACAAGAAATAAAAATAAAAGATAATAAATTTTATATATAAACTACCCAAGTATACCCACATAAAAGTACATTTTATCATTGCACATCCTTATTTTACAGTCAATTGTATACAGTATTACTTCGTAATTAATTAGCAGTATTGAGTGTGGTAATTGCTGTAGGATAAAAGCTGTGTTTGAATCTGTTTGTCCTTGTTTTGACTGATCGGAATCGTCTGCCTGATGGCAACGGCTCAAACAGAGAGTGTCCAGGGTGAGAAGAGTCCTTTATAATGTTCTTCGCTTTTTCGATGCAACGGGAATTGTGTAGTTCTTCCAATGTGGGGAGAGAGCACCCGGCGATTTTTTTGGGCCGTGTTGATGACCCTCTGCAGCGCTTTCCTCTGAGCCACTGTGCAGCTGGTGTACCATACACAGATGCAGTATGTAAGAATGCTCTCGATGGAAGCTTGGTAGAAGGACACCAACAGTTTCTGTGTGATGTTATTCTTCCTGAGTATTCTCAGGAAGTAAAGTCTCTGCTGGGCCTTTTTCAATAGCTCAGAGGTGTTGGCGCTCCAGGTCAGGCCCTCCCCGATGTGGACTCCCAGGAAGCGGAAGTCTGCCACCCTCTCCACACAGTCCCCGTTGATGGGTTAGTGGTGGCGTGTCCGTTTTCTTTCTCCTGTAGTCTATTATGAGCTCCTTGGTCTTTGCGGTGTTAAGGAACAGGTTGTTGCTCCTGCACCACGCTGTCAGCCGCTCCACCTCGTCCCTGTAGGCAAACTCATCCCCCCCAGAGATGAGCCTCACCACTGTGGTCTCATCAGCAAACTTCACAATGGTGTTACTATGGTGGACGGGGGCACAGCCATGTGTGTAGAGGGAGTAGAGCAGGGGGCTCAGTAGACAGCCCTGGGGGGAGCCAGTACTGAGGCTCAGGGCTGTGGATGTACGACGGCCCACTCTGACCCTCTGTCTGCGGCCCGAGAGGAAGCTATGCATCCACACGCAGGTGGAATGTGGAAGCCCCAGGTCGCCCATTTTTACCACCAGTTTGTGTGGGAGGATGGCGTTGAACGCAGAACTGTAATCCACGAAGAGCATCCGCACATAGCTCCCCTGCTGCTCGAGGTGTGACAGTGCAGCACGCAGTGCTGTGGCCACGGCGTCCTCCGTGGATCGGTTCGCTCTGTAGGCAAACTGGTGGGGGTCAAGGCTTCGGGGCAATGTTGCAATGATGTGACTCCGGACCGGTCTTTTCAAAGCACTTCATCACCACTGGCGTCAGTGCTACTGGCCGATAGTCGTTGAGGCTGGAAATGTCGGGGTTTTTTTCGGCAGGGGGACTATGGTGGAGGACTTTTAGGCAGGGTGGTACCGTGGACTGTTCCAGAGACAGGTTTAAAATCCTTGTGAAGACTCCAGCCAGCTCGTCAGCACAGTCCCTCAGCACACGTCCCGGGACGCCATCAGGTCCCGCAGCCTGAACAGTCTACACACTGCTGCGTGTACCCCGTACTCTGAATAGTCTACACCCTGCTGGGTGTGCCCCTTACTCTGAATAGTCTACACCCCGCTGGGTGTGCCCCGTACTCTGAATAGTCTACACACTGCTGGGTGTGCCCCGCACTCTGAATAGTCTACACACTGCTGGGTGTGCCCCGCACTCTGAATAGTCTACAGCTGGGTGTGCCCCGTACTCTGAATAGTCTACTCCCCGCTGTGCGTGGCCCCGTACTCTGAATAGTCTACTCCCCGCTGTGCGTGGCCCCGTACTCTGAATAGTCTACTCCCCGCTGGGTGTGCCCCGCACTCTGAATAGTCTACACACTGCTGGGTGTGCCCCGCACTCTGAATAGTCTACAGCTGGGTGTGCCCCGTACTCTGAATAGTCTACAGTCCAGGGGTCGGGAACCTATGACTCGCGAGCCAGATGTGGCTCTTTTGATGATTGCATATGGCTCGCAGATAAAACAAAATATTCTCACTTGTTTTAATCCATCCATCGATTTTTCACTGCGCATGTCCTGTTCAGGGCTGCAGGAGCAATTGTCCATTATTTTAATTGGATGATACTGGCCTACGTTTGCCGTTGCTGGGTAAAACAGGTAAACGCCCCCTTTTGAATCAGTCTGAGACTGCGTCTGCTCGGTCATTAGCTCAAAGCTAACCCTTCGACGAAGAAGATGGCGAAAAGAAAAAAAGACGACGAGTATCGTACATTTCAGGACGAATGGACCGAAGAATTCGCCTTTGTGGAGAGAGCGGGTTCTGCGGTGTGTCTAATTTGCAATGACAAAATTACATCGTTGAAACGGTCGAATGTAAAGCGGCACTTCGACACGCGCCACGCTACCTTTGCATCAAAATACCCTGCGGGAGACAGCAGAAAGAAAGCGTGCCAAGAGCTGAGCAGGGTGCAAGCTAGCCAGCAGCAACTCCGCGTATGGACCCGGCAAGGTGACTATAATTCGGCTAGCTTTGCTGGTTCTTTAGCAATAGTGAGGAACGGAAAACCATTCACAGATGGCGAGTATGCTAAAACGTTCATGCTGGATGTAGCCAATGAACTTTTTGATGATCTTCCGAACAAAGACAAGATAATCAAACGGATACAAGACATGCCTCTGTCGGCAAGAACTGTTCATGATCGTACCATCGTGATGGCAAACAAAGTGGAGGAAACGCAAGTGAAGGACATAAATGCAGCGCCGTTCTTTTCTCTGGCTTTGGATGAGTCAACAGACGTGAGCCATTTGTCGCAGTTCAGCGTGATTGCAAGATATGCTGTTGGTGACACACTGCGCGAAGAAAGTCTTGCTGTTCTGCCATTAAAAGGGTCCACAAGAGGTGAGGATTTATTCAAGTCTTTCATGGAGTTTGCTCAAGAAAAAAGTCTACCTATGGATAAACTTCTCTCAGTGTGTACTGATGGTGCTCCGTGTATGGTGGGGAAAAACAAAGGATTTGTGGCGCTTCTCCGTGAACATGAAAATAGACCCATCCTAAGTTTCCATTGCATTATACACCAGGAGGCACTTTGTGCTCACATGTGTGACAGGCAGTTTGGCGAAGTGATGTCGCTGGTCATTCGTGTGATCAACTTTATTGTTGCCCGAGCCTTAAATGATCGCCAGTTTAAAACACTGCTGGATGAAGTTGTAAATAACTATCCTGGTCTGCTTTTGCACAGCAATGTGCGTTGGTTGTCAAGAGGGAAGGTGCTTAGCCGTTTTGCGGCTTGCCTGAACGAAATCCGGACTTTCCTTGAAATGAAAGGCGTCGGGCATCCTGAGCTAGCCGACACCGAGTGGCTCCTCAAGTTTTACTATCTCGTAGATCTGACTGAACATCTGAACCAGCTCAACGTGAAAATGCAAGGCATTGGAAATACAGTGTTATCCCTTCAACAAGCTGTATTTGCTTTTGAAAACAAGCTGGAGCTTTTCATCACGGATCTTGAAACAGGTCGTTTACTACATTTTGAAAAACTGAGCCAATTTAAAGATGCATGCACAGCAAGTGAGCCCATTCAAAACCTTGATCTCCACCAGCTAGCTGGCTGCACATCCAGTCTCCTACAGTCCTTCAAAGCACGCTTTGGAGAATTTCGTGAGCACACTCGTCTTTTTAAGTTCATCACCCATCCAAACGAGTGTTCACTGAACACAGCCGACCTGAATTACATCCCTGGTGTCTCCGTCAGAGATTTTGAAGCAGAAGTGGCTGACCTGAAGGCCTCAGACATGTGGGTGAATAAGTTCAAGTCACTGAATGAAGATTTGGAAAGAATCACACGACAGAAAGCGGAGTTGGCGAGCAAGCACATGTGGACAGAAATGAAAAAACTCCAACCCGAAGACCAGCTGATTCTCAAAACTTGGAACGCGCTTCCTGTCACATACCACACACTGCAGCGTGTGAGTATTGCTGTATTGACCATGTTTGGATCTACGTATGCATGTGAGCAGTCATTCTCACATCTTAAAAACATCAAGTCCAACCTACGATCACGTTTAACGGATGAAAGCCTCAACGCTTGCATGAAGCTTAACCTCACCAAGTACCAACCCGACTACAAAGTACCAACCCGACTACAAAGACATCAGCAAATCCATGCAGCACCAGAAGTCGCATTAATGGTGAGTGTTATAACAACATTATTTAAAAGAATAAATTCAGAGGCTTATTATACTGACATTTAGTTGAATTCACTTTTAAAATATATTATATGGCTCTCACTGAAATAAATTTCCAAATGTTTTGCTTTCATGGCTCTCTTAGTCAAAAAGGTTCCCGACCCCTGGTGTAGGGTATAGTAATGTATAGTGTGTATAATGCAATATACAGTCTAGGCCTCTAGGGTATAGTAGTGTATTGTATCGTGTAGTGTATTTAGTCATGTGTAGTGTAATGTGTAATGTCATATGGTGTAGTGTATAGTACAGTGTAATGTATAGTGTAGTATGGTGTAGTGTGGTATAGTAATGGAGTGTATAGTATATAGTGTGGTATAGTAATGGAGTGTATAGTATAGTGTGTAGTGTGTTTGTAGCATTCGAAAGCGCCACGCGATGCGGTGACCCACCTTGTTCGACGGTTCACGAAAAGCCGTCGGAGTTTGCGTGATGGTGGTTCGTGCTCCTCGGCGAGATTGTAATGGGTCTATTGTGAGCATTATAGCCTGCATTGTAATCGACGTTGTCTATAACTCTACGTGATGGCCAAGTGATTCTCCGTTTGTTGTAATCACAGTCATCGTCGATCCGTTCTTCGATACCTTCTGGCGTGGTGAAAAAAAAGCAATCATCTCATTCAAGCGATGCCCCACTTTGCTTGTTCAGAATGGTGTTTTTTTTGCATACATGTATACGTTAAACATCTGGCAATTCATCTGCAGAGTTGGTTCAAGCAAAGCCCGACTCTGCTGCTGATGAAACACTGAATGTCGAAACCGGTCCTTCCCTATAAACATCTGGGACGTTCACTAGCATTGACTTAAGCAAAGCCTGACTCTGCTGCTGATGAGATGAATCAGAATCATTTTTTTTACATTGGAGGAATCCGATGAGCTATAAAGCTCGTTTTCACAGATGTGTGTAAAAACCGGTCCACAGTTTTGCAGCTGAAGTGATGCGTTTCCAGAAGGAGCCATTGGGTCACGTAAATAGGCTGTGTATGAAATACTTTTACAGGAACTACTCTACTTACGAACACTCGACTTACGAACTTTAAAATACCTGTTCGTATGTCCAGTTGCCTGTTTGGAACGAGAGTAATAAGCTTAACTGCCGTGCAATAGATGGCGGTGGTGGCATCTACATTTGCAGATCGTAAAGAACCAGTGGCATCTACATCTACAGAACATCAAGAACCAGTGGCATCTACATCTGATGAACGTGAAGAACCAGTGGCATCTACATCTACAGAACATCAAGAACCAGTGGCATCTACATCTGCAGCACGTGAAGAACCAGTGGCATCTACATCTGCAGAACATCAAGAACCAGTGGCATCTACATCTGCAGCACGTGAAGAACCAGTGGCATCTACATCTGCAGAACATCAAGAACCAGTGGCATCTACATCTGAAGAACGTGAAGAACCAGTGGCATCTACATCTGCAGAACATGACGAACTAGTGGCATCTACATCTGCACAACGTGAAGAACCAGTGGCATCTACATCTGCAGAACATGACGAACCAGTGGCCTCTACATCTGAAGAACGTGAAGAACTAGTGGCATCTACATCTGCAGAACATGACGAACCAGTGGCATCTACATTTGCACAACGTGAAGAACCAGTGGCATCTACATCTGCAGAACGTGACGAACCAGTGGCATCTACATCTGAAGAACGTGAAGAACCAGTGGCATCTACATCTGCAGAACATGACGAACCAGTGGCATCTACATCTGAAAAACGTGAAGAACCAGTGGCATCTACATCTGAACAACGTGAAGCACCAGTGGCATCTACATCTGCAGAACATGACGAACCAGTGGCATCTACATCTGAAGAACGTGAAGAGCCAGTGGCATTTACATCTGCAGAACATGACGAACCAGTGGCATCTACATCTGCAGAACGTTAAGAACCAGTGGCATCTACATCTGCAGAACGTGAAGAACCAGTGGCATCTACATCTGTAGAACGTGAAGAACCAGTGGCATCTACATCTGCAGAACGTGAAGAACCAGTGGCATCTACATCTGCAGAACGTGAAGAACGTGAAGAACCAGTGGCATCTACATCTGCAAAACGTGAAAAACCAGTGCCATCTACAGGAGATTATACAACTTTTAAAACCATTCCCCGTGTTTAGTGTACGCGCCGTGCAACGCGTTTGGAATCAACAGGAGTAAAGTTGGACTTACGAACAAAATCGATTTACGAACAGACCTCTGGAAGCTAACTCGTTCATAAGTAGATGAGCCCCTGTATATATTTCTATACGGAGATATGACTATGCGAATGAGACATCGTCTCATAATCTATTTAGTCGTTTGTATATTCCCACAAGACGATTACACTAATTGTGATTTTCTTTTGTTCTTCACGCTCGCACGGGCGAGTTAAGCCGCTGCGACACGCACTCCACGCACCCGATGGTTGGTAAACCATCCGCAGCTGTGGTGTGGGTGGGGGGGGGGGTTGTTTTTAAAGTGAGGATGCCATCCTGTTGGGCTGCATCTTGTCGCTTGCTGGGAGTTGAATGGGGCGGAGGAGGTCGCCAGAGACTTGAAGAGACAGAGGGGACAGAGAGACAAACATCGAGACAGAGAGACAGACACGGAGACACAGAGACAGAGAGACACAGAGAGGCAGAGAGACACACACGGAGACAGAGACAAAGAGGTGGAGAGAGACAGACAAAGACAGAGAGACACACAGAGAGACACACAGAGACAGAGAGACACACAGAGACAGAGAGACACACAGAGACAGAGAGACACACAGAGACACACAGAGAGACACATACATAGAGACACACACAGAGAGACAGAGAGACACACAGACACACAGAGACAGAGAGACACACAGAGAGACAGAGACACAGAGACACACACAGAGAGACAGACACACACAGAGAGACAGAGAGACACACAGATACACACAGAGACACAGAGAGAGAGACAGAGAGACACACAGAGACAGAGAGACAAACAGAGGCACAGAGAGAGACAGAGACAGAGAGACAAACAGAGACACACAGATACACAGAGAGAGACAGAGACACAGAGAGACACACACAGAGACACAGAGAGACACACAGAGACACACAGACACAGAGAGAGAAAGACGCGGTGAGACAGAGACACAGAGAGAGACACACAGAGACACACACAGACACACACAGACACACACACAGAGACACACACACACAGAGACACACACACAGACACACAGACACACACACAGAGACACACAGACAGAGAGACAGAGACACACACACACAGAGAGACGCGGTGAGAGGGTCCAACTCAAAGTCAACTCGGGGTGAGTTATTCGAACCCGCACTTGACCAGCGTGGTGAAGTGTGGTCAAATACCCTCCCCCCCAATTCCCCAGTGCCTTGCACAGCGTGGAGTTGAAGGCAATCATCCAGCAGTGGATTTGCAAAGGGCACCGCTCTGTGTTCACGGGCCAGATGTCTCGTGACCACCAACAAATTAATTAAACCCACGACGATTTGTTTACCAGCACCCTCTTTGCGTGTTCATTTCCGTTTTAAATATAAACCTTTACTTGATACACAAATTGGAATTAAACTTTCCGGGGGGGGGGTCACAAGACATCGGGACCACCACTGCACAAGACCATCACCGTGGCTAGGAGATGTCAACTCCATCGCCTGGTGCACAGGAGGTCGTGGGTTCAGTGGCTAGGAGATATCAACTACCTCGCCTGGTACGCAGGAGGTCGTGGGTTTAGTGGCTAGGAGATGCCAACTCCATCGCCTGGTGCGCAGGAGGTCGTGGGTTCAGTGGCTAGGAGATGTCAACTACCTCGCCTGGTACGCAGGAGGTCGTGGGTTCAGTGGCTAGGAGATGTTAACTACATCGCCTGGTACGCAGGAGGTCGTGGGTACAGTAGCTAGGAGATGTCAACTACCTCGCCTGGTACGCAGGAGGTCGTGGGTTCAGTGGCTAGGAGATGTCAACTACCTCGCCTGGTGCCCAGGAGGTCGCGGGTTCAATTCACGATGCTTGCTGTATATTTGGAGTCTGTCTCTCTCCTCTCTGTCTCTCCCTGTGGGCACGTGGATTCGTCTCCGGATCCTCCGTTTTTTCCCCTCCACATTTAGAATCAACGTCACCACGCGCTTCGAGTATTTGGCCGCCGCTAAGAATGTCCACATGTCGATGACGCTGATGATGATCCCATTTCGCTTGAGCAGCAATCATTTGTGACGACCAGGTCGCTTCTGAATAAGAGCCACCCCATAACTGCTCAGTGGGGCCTTACACCTGGTAAAATAAATAAAAAATAGTTTTTCAAGTTTCTTTAAAATTTTGCAACGAAGACTCTTCATCCACGCCGTTCCACCTCGTGATGGGATGGAGAGATGTGTTGCGAAAAGGCGTGGCACCGTTGGTTTTGCTGCGCGTCCCATAACAAAACATCCTGTAACACGGTCTTGCCTTAAAGCTTTCGTGACTGCAGGAAATCACATTCTTTGGGTCTTTCGGTAAAGCCACGTAGATAGGAAAAAAAAATATCACGACGTTTCGATCGCAACGCAAGCAATCGTCATCAGGTGAAAAAAATATAGCGGGAGAGCTGCTGGGGTAGGAAACAATATAGCGGGAGAGCTGCTGAAGCAGGAAACAATATAGCGGGAGAGCTGCTGGAGCAGGAAACAATATAGCGGGAGAGCTGCTGGGGCAGGAAACAATATAGCGGGAGAGCTGCTGAGGCAGGAAACAATATAGCGGGAGAGCTGCTGGGGCAGGAAACAATATAGCAGGAGAGCTGCTGGGGTAGGAAACAATATGGCGGGAGAGATGCTGGGGTAGGAAACAATATAGCGGGAGAGCTGCTGGGGCAGGAAACAATATAGCGGGAGAGATGCTGGGGTAGGAAACAATATAGCGGGAGAGCTACTGGGGCAGGAAACAATATAGCGGGAGAGCTGCTGAGGCAGGAAACAATATAGCGGGAGAGCTGCTGAGGCAGGAAACAATATAGCGGGAGAGCTGCTGAGGTAGGAAACAATATAGCGGGACAGCTGCTGAGGCAGGAAACAATATAGCGGGAGAGCTGCTGAGGTAGGAAACAATATAGCGGGAGAGCTGCTGAGGCAGGAAACAATATAGCGGGAGAGCTGCTGAAGCAGGAAACAATATAGCGGGAGAGCTGCTGGGGCAGGAAACAATATAGCGGGAGAGCTGCTGAGGCAGGAAACAATATAGCAGGAGAGCTGCTGGGGCAGGAAACAATATAGCGGGAGAGCTGCTGGGGTAGGAAACAATATAGCAGGAGAGCTGCTGAGGCAGGAAACAATTTAGCGGGAGAGCTGCTGGGGTAGGAAACAATATAGCGGGAGAGCTGCCGGGGCAGGAAACAATATAGCGGTAGAGCTGCTGGGGCAGGAAACAATATAGCGGGAGAGCTGCTGAGGCAGGAAACAATATAGCGGGATAGCTGCTGAGGTAGGAAACAATATAGCGGAGAGCTGCTGAGGCAGGAAACAATATAGCGGGAGAGCTGCTGAGGCAGGAAACAATATAGCGGGAGAGCTGCTGAAGCAGGAAACAATATAGCGGGAGAGCTGCTGGGGCTGGATGTTATTTAGGTTTGAGATGGGTGTAGGGTCATAAGCGAAGTGGGCGGGGCTAGAGATGGAATTTGCGTGTAAATGTAAGAACGGATAGCTGAGCTACCTCCACGACTACGAAGCTGTGGAGGTGGCCATTGTATTGTGAGAGCTTCAATTTTTATACTGGCTAAACGTTCCACAGATGATCTCCATCTGTTCCATCTCCTTCTTACAGCAGAGTGTGTGCACTAATCCCCATCTGTTCCATCTCACTCCCTTCTACAGCAGAGTGTGTGGACGAATCTCCATCTGTGCCATCTCGCTCCTTCCTACAGCAGAGAGTGTGGACTAATCTCCATCTGTTCCAGCTCGCTCCCTCCTACAGCAGAGTGTGTGGACAAATCTCCATCTGTTCCATCTCACTCCCTTCTACAGCAGAGTGTGTGGACTAATCTCCATCTGTTCCATCTCACTCCCTCCTACAGCAGAGTGTGTGGACAAATCGCCATCTGTTCCATCTCACTCCCTCTTACAGCAGAGTGTGTGGACTAATCTCCATCTGTTCCATCTCGCACCCTCCTACAGCAGAGTGTGTGGACAAATCGCCATCTGTTCCAGCTCGCTCCCTCCTACAGCAGAGTGTGTGGACAAATCTCCATCTGTTCCAGCTCGCTCCCTCCTACAGCAGAGTGTGTGGACAAATCTCCAACTGTTCCATCTAACTCCCTCCTACAGTAGAGTGTGTGGACTAATCCCCATCTGTTCCATCTCCCTTCTACCGGTGGGTGGGCGTCAAGGACGAGCCGTACGCCTCGCTCTACCAGGTCGAAGGCGGTACAGCAAAATGTGCACATTATCAGATCGTGTTTCTTTGCATGTTTTGCCAACAATACATGTGGTTAATGCGGACTTGGCGCTGTGTCCATTCGGTGTTTGAACATCTTAACACAGCGCCCGTGTTTATTGCCATGAAGCCCAATTCTCATCTTGCCTCGTTTGTCATCGTTAGCTGTGGTGCTTTAGCTTCGTCTCTTTGGCCCCTCCCCCCGCTCTTCCCAGATGGATTCACACGTCCACCTGCCCTTCGTCAAGCAAGAAAATCAAAACCCAGGGATGGGTCCAGACTTCCCGGTCATACGTGACCAGGATGTGCACAGCGGTGAGTGAGCGTAGCAACTCCCGGTCCTCCGGTGTTTTTTTTCATCGGTTTCACTTAACTTGACTCTCCTATGTTAATATTCTTGGTTCTTTCGGTAAAGTCACGTAGAAGGGAAACAATAAAATAATTCTAAAAAAATTATCACGACGTTTCGACTGCAACACAAGCAATCATCATCAGGTGTGAAAACTACAGCAAGAAAATTTGAAAAAAGTGGCGTTTTTTTCTTAACATTAACACCACGGAGAGCGATTTGGCAGTTGTTCATGAGGCTATCCACATATACAAAGACAGAGACAATTTCAACCTAGAAGATGGATTCTGGCTTAGCAATCATTGGAAGGTTTTGATAAACCATTTCAGGTCTTAATTGATTGTTCACGCTTACGGTGGCTTTCAGGCCGCATTCCATTCTCTTCGTCTCCCCCCTCCTATTTTCCGAACATAGATGGACTCGTCCATCTGAATAACTGCCAAATCGCTCTCCGTGGTGCTAACGTTAAGAAAAAACCTCCACTTTTTTCAAATTTTCTTGCTGTGGTTTTCACGTCTGATGATGATTGCTTGTGTTGCAGTGGAAACGTAGTGAGAATTCTATTGTTTTATATTTTTACTATTTTATTATTTCCCTTCTACGTGGTGACTTTACCGAAAGAACCAAGAATATGAATCCCTGCAGTCACGAAAACTTTAAATCTCCTCTGTTTGTCTGGGTCAAATCTTCGTCCACTTCCCGTTGTCCATTAAATCCACATTTTGCACGCGTACTCAGATCCGGTGACAATGCATGCCTGTATCAAAATCGGCATCAATTAATCAATGAATTCGCTACTTTAAAGCAATTAACATTTTGTATGGACGCCTTATTAAATATATGTGTAGGTCAAAAAGTCCGCGGTCCCTAAACTCTCGAATCGCCTCGCCCAAGAAGCAGGCGCCGCGTGTCTCAGGTGCGCCCGCTCCGTGTGAACGAGTTGCGGGCACCCTCACTCCGCACGAACAAAAGTCGTACATTGAAGATTCATTTATAAAGTAATCGATTAATTCAAGTAAGCGTTGATGTGGGAGCAGGCGCCATTGGCGTACTTTTCGACCGCGTGTTCAGCGAAGTTGTTAATAAAACCGTTTATTTTTTAAAAACGATTGTTAAGGAGTTTAAAGCTTTCGTGACTGCAGGGATTCACATTCTTGGTTCAATAAAATTATTGGTTTATTTTTATTATTTTATTATTTCCCTTCCACGTGACTTTACCGAAAGAACCAAGAATATGATCTTTAAGGAGTTTATTTCCAATCCTCCACGTTTATTAAACGTGCTTTGAGATCATTTCGATCATTTTGGCTGCTGTGAATGCCCACTTGGTGATGATGATGATGAGGAGCCACTTTGCCGAGCGATCATTTGCGCTCGCCAGGGTCGCTGCTTAAGAAGAACCATGTAAGCAGCTCACTGGGGCCTTAACCTGTTAACGTAGCAGCTCACTGGGGCCTTAATCTGTTAACGTAGCAGCTCACTGGGGCCTTAACCTGTTAACGTAGCAGCTCACTGGGGCCTTAACCTGTTAACGTAGCAGCTCGCTGGGGCCTTAACCTGTTAACGTAGCAACTCACTGGGGCCTTAACCTGTTAACGTAGCAGCTCGCTGGGGCCTTAACCTGTTAACGTAGCAACTCACTGGGGCCTTAATCTGTTAACGTAGCAGCTCGCTGGGGCCTTAACCTGTTAACGTAGCAGCTCACTGGGGCCTTAACCTGTTAACGTAGCAGCTCACTGGAGCCTTAACCTGTTAACGTAGCAGCTCACTGGGGCCTTAATCTGTTAACGTAGCAGCTCACTGGGGCCTTAACCTGTTAACGTAGCAGCTCACTGGGGCCTTAACCTGTTAACGTAGCAGCTCACTGGGGCCTTAACCTGTTAACGTAGCAGCTCACTGGGGCCTTAACCTGTTAACGTAGCAGCTCACTGGGGCCTTAATCTGTTAACGTAGCAGCTCACTGGGGCCTTAACGTAGCAGCTCACTGGGGCCTTAACCTGTTAACCTGTTAACGTAGCAGCTCACTGGGGCCTTAACCTGTTAACGTAGCAGCTCACTGGGGCCTTAACCTGTTAACGTAGCAGCTCACTGGGGCCTTAACCTGTTAACGTAGCAGCTCACTGGGGCCTTAACCTGTTAACGTAGCAGCTCACTGGGGCCTTAACCTGTTAACGTAGCAGCTCACTGGGGCCTTAACCTGTTAACATTTTTAAAAAATACAGTCAAGCCTCGGAGATCGAACGCACCAGAACTCGAACAAATCGGTGATAGAACGATATTTCCGAAAAAAATTTTGGCCCCCGGAAATACCGAACGAAATTCGGAGGTCGAACGGGCAATCGCGACTTGAAAGAACCTCAGTTTAACACGCAGCAGGCTTTCGCGACCAGTATTGTTCATAATTAAGGTTTTTCGGGTTAGATCGCGTTATTTATAAATGTGTCCTAGCCCTCCACCACCCGATACGGCCAATCAGCAAAAAAGTGTCACGTTGACAAAAGACAAAATAGTTCAATACTTTAGCCCACTGGTGTGTTGAAGAGTGAATCCACGTCGTACTAATCAAAGTGTAAATGTTGTGGATTCACTCTTCAACACACCGGTGGGCTAAAGTAGTGAACTATTTTGTCTTTTGTCAACGTGACACTTTTTTGCTGATTGGCCGTGTCGGGTGGTGGAGGGTTACGACACATTTATGCTGGTAGGAACGAAGTTGTAAACTGAGTGTACCAGCCTGCAATATATTAATGTGTCCGTCCGTCTGTCCCCTTTCAATACTTTAACGAAGTGAAATCTCGTGCTGTTGGGTGTAAAATCAGCAATAGACAGGGCAGAGACTTGTCCTACCAGCCCACCCTGCAGGGACCTGTTAAATAACGCGATCTCACCCCAAAAACCTTTATTTTGAAAGAACCTGTACACGACTGAGACGCACGTGGCCCAGCGTGCACGACGCTTGCCCAGACAAAGGTTTTACCACCTCCTCCTCCTCACCACCTTCCACTCAAGCCATCAACTCTCCTTACTACAGGTAAAGTGAAGTTCAATGTTCATTTATTTCATTTATTCCATTTATTTATTGTCTTTCTTGGTTGTTTTTTTTTGCGTGTGATTTTATGCGTGTAAGTACTGTAAACTTCGCGTAAAAATGCTTTCTAAATGAGAGATTTCTTACGTCTGGAACCAATTAATGTAATTTACATTCATTCTTATGGGGAAAATTAATTCGGTGTTCGAACAAATCGGTGATCGAACGGCCTTCTGCAACGAAATAAGGACAGACAGATCTCTGGGGTGCCACTGTCGTTTAGTTATTCGTAGTTTTGGTTCACAGCATCCCTGCGATCGGTAATGATAATCAGTGCTGGAATAAGCCAAATTAGCTCGTAGAAAATAAAAATGCAGTGCAATTACTTGTTCGGCAATTGGTAACTGGGCTGAAACAATCGGCTCATTGCATTTGGGGATCCTGGTTTAATCTCTGGAGGCCGAATGCGACGTTGAAAATCCAGGACCTCAGTGGTGTTGGCTCCGTGTGCAGGAGCACACACACAGCAGTGCAGCGGTCAGCGCTACGAACCCGGCGACCCGAGTTCGATTCCCGCTCACGGCCACCAACACCGCCGGTGACGATTATCTGAACCGGTGCCGTGGCCTCCCCTAGGTCGACTCAGCCTCAAGTCGAGTGCGTGGTGCGGTGTGTAGTGGACAGTAGCACCGGGGGAGTGGGGAGACAAAGGCGGCCGGGCGTGGTGGTGCTGGCCACCCACCCCCTCGTGTGCCGTGCCGACCTTCACAGCTGCTGCTACTCGCTAACAGCACTTGCCCCAACAGTCTGTTACAGGCTACACGGGGGGTCTTTGATTTGTGTGTGGCGCAGCGGTTTAATGTGCTGCGCTACGAACCTGATGACCAGAGTTCGATTCCCACTCACGATCAATAACAGTGACGATTATCTGAACCGGTCCTGGGCCTCGCCTAGGTCGTTTCAGCCTCAAAAATAGTACTTAGTACTTGGTGCGGTGTGCAACAGTCTGTCACAGTCTGTTACAGGCTACATGGAGGATCTTTTTGTCTTTGCTTGCAGACGCAGTCGTGAAGCAAGAAGATGATGACGGGAGTCTGGGCACCGAGACGCTGAGGATTGTGGTGAAAACTGAAATCGAGGATGATGGTAAACCTCTTCACATGGGACAGATAGTGCCGTAAACAAGAATCGAAGAACAAGACTTCGAAGTATATAAGGAGATGTCTCTAGCTTATTAGATTTGACTTCAGTGGAGCATTATAGCTCATCAGATTCCTCCAGTGTAAACAAATATTCTGATGCTATTGAATGTTTAAACCTCTTAATCCGTCATGACGATGAGCCACTTCCTTGAGCTGCTATCGTTTGTGATGTCCAGGTCGCTTCTGGAAGAGAGCTCCTAACATAGCAGCTCAGTGGGGCCTTACCCGGTAACAATTAAATAGTTTCGATAATCTTTGGTTCTTTCAGTAAAGTCACGTAGTTAGAAATGAAATAAAAAATAAAATAAACATTCGTTTTATTTTATTTCTAACTACGTGACATTAATAATAGGTTTTTACCCTCTTATCTGGCAACAAAACTGACACCTTTTAACAAGGGATCATGCTTGCATTAACCACAACACTTGTGGTCAAAATGCAAACAAAAAGACAACACTGATAATGTATTGGCACTGTCCTTGAAATTGATTGGTCCACACCCGAGACAGCTTTTCATAGAGCCCAGTCTCACGTTGGTGTTGGACCAGATGACGCCAAAAGGCGCACAACTCAAAGACAACGCACCATCAGAGTATTGAGAGCTCGGGGTATGCTTTTACATTATGAGACCTCCTTTTGCCAGTATCAAGATATAATAATAGGTTTTTACCCTTTTATCTGGCAACAAAGCTGATACCTCGGGTGTGGACCAATCATATGCGACTTTACCGAAAGAACCAAAGAGTATGGATTCGTGCAGTCACGAAAGCTTCAAATCAAGACGAAAATAGTTTTGCTTTATTTGTAGATTTGTTTATCTTTCCCTATACAGTAAAACCTTGGATTGCGAGGAGCATAATTCGTTCCGGCAACGCGTTTGTAATCCAAAGCACTCGTACATCAAAGCACTCGTAGTATATCAGTCGTGATCACGTGACGCTCGGTAGTACAAAGCGTCTACACGTACGCTGCTCGTATTGCAAGACCCTAGCTCGTTTATCAAATTAAAAATGTATCTAAAATTTTTGCTCGTCTTGCAAAACACTCGCAGACCAAGTTACTTGCAATCCAAGGTTTTGCTGTACTTTGCACTCCTATCGTGTGTGGGTGTGTATTGTCTCGTGTTGTTGTTCTAACATCCTGACCCCATGACCCTACCGGACATCTGTGAAAAAAAAGAGCCTCATACAGTGAGGGAAACAAGTATTTGATCCCCTGCTGATTTTGTACGTTTGCCCACTGACAAAGAAATGAACAGTCCATAATTTTAATGGGAGGTTTATTTGAACAGTGAGAGACAGAATAACAACAACAAAATCCAGAAAAACGCATGTCAAAAATGTTATAAATTGATTTGCATTTTAAAACATGACTTAGTACTTGGTGGCAAAACCCTTGTTGGCAATCACAGAGGTCAGACGTTTCTTGTAGTTGGCCACCAGGTTTGCACACATCTCAGGAGGGATTTTGTCTCACTCCTCTTTGCAGATCTTCTCCAAGTCATGAAGGTTTCGAGGCTGACGTTTGGCAACTTGAACCTTCAGCTCCCTCCACAGATTTTCTATGGGATTAAGGTCTGGAGACTGGCTAGGCCACTCCAGGACCTTAATGTGTTTCTTCTTGAGCCGCTCCTTTGTTGCCTTGGCCGTGTGTTTTGGGTCATTGTCGTGCTGGAATACCCGTCTGATTCCTCCGCCTGCAGTCCACGTAGAGACTCTTGATTCCGAGCCGACGTTGAATGTTCAAACCTCCCGACCGTCTTGAGGACCCATACTCTTTGGTTCTATTCGGTAAAGTCACGTAGGTAAAAATTAAAACAACAAAAATCACGACGTTTCGGCCACAACACAAGCGGCCTTCATCAGATGAAGGGACCAGACTGTCTCGAGGACAGCGCTGGAGTGAAACACAGCCACGCTCAGACCGCGACCTTTCAGCTGTGTGCGAGGAAAGGTGCCTTGACAAAGGAATTGGCATAAAAATTAGCATTTGATTGGCCGACGTAGCATGATAAACGGTGTAGAGGTGATGTACATGTGGGTGAACTTGCCGGTTGGCGAGGGGGGGAGGGGGAGTTTACCTATTGATGGTGTGAAAACGGAATTTTTAAGAGCTTTGAAAGTTTGGGGTACCACTACTTGAAAAATATACTGTACCATTGAAAATTAGTTTAATGTTTGGTTCGATTTAGAACATCTTTCCAATGGTTGCTTAATTTGAAACCATCTTCTCGGTTGAAATTGTGTCTGTGTTTGTAGATATGAATTGCCTCGTGAACAAATCTCTGATAAAAAAAAAAAAAACCCGTGGGTCTGCAAAGAACGTCTTGAGGACCGCCGGCGCTTTTCCTCGGTTGCAGCCTCGCGGCACCTGAAGATCGTTAAAGTTGAAGGGACCGCCGGCGAGAGACCGGAGGAGACGGAGGAGCATTCCGACGGGCGCCGGCCCTCCGTGGACAAGGCGCTCGTCAAGGTGGAGTCGCAGGAGGCGGACGCTGTCGCGCCCCCGGTGAGCGCCTTCGGCGACGTACGGCGCCCAGCGCGCAGTGGGGACGGTGAGTTCTCTGCTGAAGGCGCGCGGGCGGAGGGGGCTTCCAACGCACGCAGCGGTTCGGCTTTCGCGACCGACGTTATCCGTAATCAAAGTTCACTTGCGTTTTTACGCGCTTTTATTTCGCTCGCTCTGTCTGTCGTTGTCGTCGTTGTTGTTGTATCCTCAAACTCTTGTAACTCAATTTTGCGCAATGTGGCGTCGACTGCAAACTTGGTATGATTATGTGATGCCGGTGACAATACTGTGTTCTATCGTTAAAAATGAAAGAAGAAATATTTTAAAACATTCTTTTTTATATATGTTATGTTTCGACTTGGGCTTAATTGTCCATGCTCAACTGACGTTGGCTGTAAATCACCATGGGCCCCTTACGTCGTGGCGAGCCTCGGGGCCACTTCCTGCAGCCGTGGAGTTCTTCCATTACTAGTACGGTACATTTCAGAAAAGCGTGTTTTTAAAAAAAGTTTTTTTTTTTTAAACATTACTTATTTTGGCTTAGATCGCTGTAAATGTGAACGTGTCCGTTAAACGCCGGCACCACCCGGCAGGGCCAATTAGTCGGTCCTCTGATCCCATGACTGAAAAGTTATCGCTGGGGTTTGATCTTCCACGAAGATGCTCGTGGTCCCCCACCCCCAGCCACTGCACCAACAATGGCAGCAGCAGCAGATACGGATGATAGCTGATGATGCACAAATGGAAAATCAAAAACTCTGCCCGATAGTGACGGTGCCATGACTGTGGGACCGTCCACAACGCATAACGACGCAGTGCCCCCGGCACACGAATACGAAGGAGGAGACATCGCCGCAGCCATGATGATGACAACGACGATGACGACGATTCACTGCTCCCCTACTGCTCCTGCTGACGCTGTAGTCTGGGTTTCACCACCTGAATGCGACATCTACATCAGCCGTACGAAAGAAGACAAATCTCATCCTATGCAGCGGCAGCCAGGGTCTATCCACTGCTAGATGAAGGCCTCTCCGAGCCTTCTATTGTAATTCATCATCATCAGCAGCATCATCATCAGCCAGTGTGCGACTGCGTCAATCCAGAACGGGGGCCGTACACAATGCGTAACGACGCAATGCCCCCGGTACACGAATACGAAGGAGGAGACATCGTCACAGCGATGACGACGATGATTCACTACCCAGCTGCTGCTCCTGCTGATGCGGTTGTCTCTAGCTTGACCACCTGAATGTGACATTGTGGTCACTGCTCTGCATCTACATCAGCCGCACGGAAGAATAAGATTGAAACGTTTAAATGTTAATTCTAGATTTGAAGCTTTCATGACTGCAAGGATCCATACTCTTTGGTTCTATTCGGTAAAGTCACGTGACTTTACCGAATAGAACCAAAGAGTGTGTAAATGTTCATGTTGCCTTTCATCATTGGACCTCCTTTGCCAGTGCCAAAATATAATAATCGGGGGTTTTTCCCCTTTTTTCTAGCAACAGAATTGAAACCTTTTTACAAGGAATCATGTTACTGCATTAACCACAATACTTGCAGTCAAAATGCAAACAAAAACATACTATGATAATATATGTGGCATTGTCCTTGAAACTGATTGGTCCACACCAAGGGACGGCTTTCTTTTGAGCCTCGATCCAATTGGTGCTCGACCAGAGGACGCCAAAAGGCGTTCAGCTCAAAGACAATGCACTATCAAAGTAATGAGGGTTCGTGGTAAGCATCTACATCATGAGACCTCCTTTGCCAGGACCAAAATATAATAATAGGGTTTTTTCCCCTTTTTTCTGGCAACAGAACTGAAATCTTTTTACAAGGCTTCATGTCTGCATTAACCACAATACTTGCAGTCAAAATGCAATAAAAAAGTACTATGATAATATAGTCGAGGCTCAAAGCCGTCCCTTGGTGTGGACCAATCAGTGTCAAGGACAATGCATATATTATCATAGTGTGTGTTTTTTGTTTGCATTTTGACTGCAGGTATTGTGGTTAATGCAGACATGAATCCTCGTAAAAAGGTTTCAGTTTTGTTGCCAGAAAAAAGGGGAGAAACCCTATTATTATATTGTCTTTCATGTCAAATATTATTTACAAAATGAATGACAACATAAATGTTGTCATTTATTTTGTTTGTGTTTTAAGTCGGTAATCGTTATTCACGAACTTGGCGAACCGCGATTTTTGCTATCCGCGAATTGCATCTGGAACTCTACACGGCTACTGCATCGAGATAAAGTGACGAGAGATAAAGTGACAAGAGATAAAGTGATGAGAGATAAAGTGACGAGAGATAAAGTGATGAGAGATAAAGTGACAAGAGATAAAGTGACGAGAGATAAAGTGATGAGAGATATAGTGGTGAGAGATAAAGTGATGAGAGATAAAGTGATGAGAGATAAAGTGACGAGAGATAAAGTGACGAGAGATAAAGTGATGAGAGATAAAGTGACGAGAGATAAAGTGATGAGAGATAAAGTGACGAGAGATAAAGTGACAAGAGATAAAGTGACGAGAGATAAAGTGACGAGAGATAAAGTGACGAGAGATAAAGTGACGAGAGATAAAGCGGTGAGAGATAAAGTGACGAGAGATAAAGTGACGAGAGAGATAAAGTGATGAGAGATAAAGTGGTGAGAGATAAAGTGACGAGAGATAAAGTGACAAGAGATAAAGTGACAAGAGATAAAGTGACGAGAGATAAAGCGGTGAGAGATAAAGTGACGAGAGATAAAGTGACGAGAGAGATAAAGTGATGAGAGATAAAGTGATGAGAGATAAAGTGACGAGAGATAAAGTGACAAGAGATAAAGTGACAAGAGATAAAGTGACGAGCGATAAAGTGACGAGAGATAAAGTGATGAGAGATAAAGTGATGAGAGATAAAGTGACGAGAGATAAAGTGACAAGAGATAAAGTGACAAGAGATAAAGTGACGAGCGATAAAGTGACGAGAGATAGAGTGATGAGAGATAAAGTGACGAGAGATAAAGTGACGAGAGATAAAGTGACGAGAGATAAAGCGATGAGAGATAAAGTAACGAGAGATAAAGTGACGAGAGATAAAGTGGTGAGAGATAAAGTGATGAGAGATAAAGTGACGAGAGATAAAGTGACGAGAGATAAAGTGACGAGAGATAAAGTGACGAGAGATAAAGTGACGAGAGATAAAGCGACGAGAGATAAAGTGACGAGAGATAAAGTGACGAGAGATAAAGTGACGAGAGATAAAGCGGTGAGAGATAAAGCGATGAGAGATAAAGTGATGAGAGATAGAGTGACGAGAGATAAAGTGATGAGAGATAAAGTGATGAGAGATAGAGTGATGAGAGATAAAGTGATGAGAGATAAAGTGACGAGAGATAAAGTGATGAGAGATAAAGTGATGAGAGATAAAGTGATGAGAGAGATAAAGTGATGAGAGATAAAGTGACGAGAGATAAAGTGGTGAGATAAAGCGACGAGAGAGATAGAGAGATAGAGTGACGAGAGATAAAGTGGTGAGAGAGATAAAGTGACGAGAGATAAAGTGACGAGAGATAAAGTGACGAGAGATAAAGTGATGAGAGATAAAGTGATGAGAGATAAAGTGACGAGAGATAAAGTGACAAGAGATAAAGTGACAAGAGATAAAGTGACGAGCGATAAAGTGACGAGAGATAGAGTGATGAGAGATAAAGTGACGAGAGATAAAGTGACGAGAGATAAAGTGACGAGAGATAAAGCGATGAGAGATAAAGTAACGAGAGATAAAGTGACGAGAGATAAAGTGGTGAGAGATAAAGTGATGAGAGATAAAGTGACGAGAGATAAAGTGACGAGAGATAAAGTGACGAGAGATAAAGTGACGAGAGATAAAGTGACGAGAGATAAAGCGACGAGAGATAAAGTGACGAGAGATAAAGTGACGAGAGATAAAGTGACGAGAGATAAAGCGGTGAGAGATAAAGCGATGAGAGATAAAGTGATGAGAGATAGAGTGACGAGAGATAAAGTGACGAGAGATAAAGTGATGAGAGATAGAGTGATGAGAGATAAAGTGATGAGAGATAAAGTGACGAGAGATAAAGTGATGAGAGATAAAGTGACGAGAGATAAAGTGATGAGAGATAAAGTGACGAGAGATAAAGTGACGAGAGATAAAGTGACGAGAGATAAAGTGACGAGAGATAAAGCGATGAGAGATAAAGTAACGAGAGATAAAGTGACGAGAGATAAAGTGGTGAGAGATAAAGCGACGAGAGATAAAGTGATGAGAGATAAAGTGATGAGAGATAAAGTGACAAGAGATAAAGTGATGAGAGATAAAGTGATGAGAGATATAGTGGTGAGAGATAAAGTGACGAGAGATAAAGTGATGAGAGATAAAGTGACGAGAGATAAAGTGACGAGAGGTAAAGTGACGAGAGACAAAGCGACGAGAGATAAAGTGACGAGAGAGATAAAGTGACGAGCGATAAAGTGACGAGAGATAAAGTGACGAGAGAGATAAAGTGACGAGAGATAAAGTGACGAGAGATAAAGTGATGAGAGATAAAGTGACGAGAGATAAAGTGGTGAGAGACAAAGCGACGAGAGATAAAGTGACGAGAGATAAAGTGACGAGAGATAAAGTGGTGAGAGATAAAGCGACGAGAGATAAAGTGACGAGAGATAAAGTGACGAGAGATAAAGTGGCGAGAGATAAAGTGACGAGAGAGATAAAGTGACGAGAGATAAAGCGATGAGAGATAAAGTGACGAGCATCTCAGGAGCGTACCCATCGTGAATAAAACGATGGGACACCGTTATATGTTTCCAAAATCGCAGCCACAGATTTGGGGATCGTCGAAGGTGGGGGAGGTTCCGAGAGGCCGGAGGAGACGGTCGATTCCCATGGGCATGCGGACACTCCGGACCGGAACTTCATCGAGGTGGAGTTATCAGAGTGGGACACGGATGAAGGTGAGAGAGTCCTTCTCGACCACGCGTCACAGAGAAATGTAAAAAGTTTAATTCTATTTTTTTGACCGCCGGCCATATTTAGCTTGGCGCCACTGATGGGGGGGAGGGGGGGGGTCTCACACAGTTGCCTATTTTGACCCACAAAAGGTACAAAATGTGATTATTATTACTATTTATTTTTTACGGGGCAATTATTTGCGCACAGTACGTAGCCAACCGCGCTAATCGGAGGTGCAGGGGAAGGACAACAAACTAAACACAACAACAACAAGCAGCAGTTCTCAAGAAATCCGTTTTCATACTCACAGTCACTCAGAAGAAAAGTAATAATGGATCACGACTGTTTCGATCGCGTGTGTGGCTCTCGAAACGTCGTGATCCATTGTTATTTTGTCTACCCACGTGATGACTTTACCGAAGGAACCAAAGCGTATGGATTCCTGCAGTCACGAAAGCTTCAAATCAAAATGAGTTTTCAATTTAGTATAATGGTGTAGTGTATAGTAGTGTATAATACTGTAGTGTATCTTGGTGTTGTGTGTATGAGTGTAGTGCATCGTAGTGTGTAGTAGAGCCATTTTTTTCATATTCGGTACAAATATCAATATTTCAAGAGCTGCAATGCGTTAAAGCGGTCCATGAAGAGCGACACGCGGCTCTGGAACCGCAGGTTGCCGACCTCTGGTGTCGTGTGTAGTCTAAGTTTGTAGCGTAGTGTATAGTGCAGTGTGTAGTGTATGTGTGCTGAACTTCTTTCGTGCCGTACGTAGCCGACCGCGATAATCGGAGGTGCGGGGGAAAGACAACAAACTATACACGGAAATCAGCTCTAAAGAAATGAGTTTGTCAATCTAGATGATGATTTAAAAGTGCATCGCTCCAGTGGCTTCCTCATATCGAAAGAGCTGTCCAGACGGCCGCAGAAGGGCGTCTGAAAGCACACGTTGCGGTGACCGTCTTTGTTCGATGTCCAGTCGTGTAGTGTAGTGTATAGTGTAGTGTATAGTAGTGTAGTGTATAGTGTAGTGTATAGTGTAGTGTATAGTGCAGTGTATAGTGTAGTGTATAGCAGTGTGTAGTGTATAGTGTAGTGCATAGCAGTGTGTAGTGTATAGTGTAGTGTATAAGACAGTGTATAGTGTAGTGCATAGCAGTGTATAGTGTAGTGTATGACGTAGTGCATAGTAGTGTAGTCTATAGTGTAGTATATAGTGCAGTGCATAGTGTAGTGTATAGTGTAGTGTATAGTGTAGTGTATAGTGCAGTAGTGTAGTGTATAGTGTAGTGTATAGTGCAGTGTATAGTGCAGTGTATAGTGTAGTGCATAGCAGTGTGTAGTGTATAGTGTCATGTATAAGGCAGTGTATAGTGTAGTGCATAGCAGTGTATAGTATAGTGTATAACGTAGTGTATAGTAGTGTAGTCTATAGTGTAGTATATAGTGCAGTGCATAGTGTAGTGTATCTAGCATCTTAAAGCGCACGATGCGGTGACCGACTTTGTTCGATAGTTCGCCAAAAGCCGCCGCTGCTGCGAGCATTACCAGAGTTTGCGTGACGATGGTTTATGCCCCTTGACGAGATCAGGGAGGTATTGTGGTTCGTTTGTGGCAAGAATTTTGCGTGCACTGAGAGAGGTAGACTCGAAAGAGAGAGCGAGAGAGAGAATGAGTTAATGTTCATGGCGTCTGACGGACGATCGCGTTGTATTCGTGGCTTCTTATGTACAGGCAGTCCCCGGGTTACGGAAGGGTTAGGTTCCCGGGAACGATCCGAAACCCGAATTTTCCATATGTTGGGAAACTGAACAATTTCCCCCCACAGTGAAAGATAAAATCTCGTAGGCAGAAGTACTCATGCCTCCGCTACCGTTTTCTCTCAGTACTGTATTGTGCTGTCGTCCGTTTTCTATCGCTCCCTGTATCGTGTCGCTGTACATACGCTCTGCAGCCTACGATTCTTTCATTTCGTCGAATGTCTAGCCGGACACTACCCATAATTAAAGTGACGGAACAAATACTGTATCCAATTGTTTACGAATACGACGAAACATTTTGATATTACTTGTTAACAGAAAGCGGCCATTTCCGAATGTTCGCTTACCGTGCATTAGGCTAGGCCTAGACTTCACAAACAACAACAACAACCGCCATTCGCCACTAAGTGGCGGTGACGTCACCACGACGCTTGTGCCAGGCCATGTGCACCCTGAGGCCATGTGAAGTGTCGAACGCCCGCGGGCAGGAGGTCACGGGGCAGACCCAAGTGCCACAGGTCGACTGACTAAGATGACTGAGATGACTGGCTGATGCACCACCTGTGCCCCCTACTGTGCCAACCCGCTGTGCTTCAGCCACCCGGCGCTCCGCTCATTGTTGTGAGCGTCGCTCCTCCGCCCTCCGTTGTTGTTGGAGGGCGACTGCCTCCAACTGCCCAGTAGCGTCCTACACGATCCTCTTTCACAGAGGCCGATCTTGACACCGCTGGTACCAGTCATCGGCAAGTCCACTCAGCTCCACGTCCTCCTGTACCACATCACTCCATCTCTTCTCTAGCCCGTGCCGCACCCGTTTAGCCCCCTCGATCCGGCCGAACAAAAGCTGTTTCAGCATGCGGTGTCTGGGCATGCGGGCTGCATGACCCAGCCAACGCATCCTTGCCTGCCGGAGGAGCTCACCGATGGGACCCTGCCCAGATCTCTCAAGGGTTTGTGAGCTCCTCACACAATCTAGCCTGGTTAAACCCAGGATGGATCGTAGGCAGGTCAGCCTAAATGTTTCTAACCGGCGAAGATGTTCCATTAGGGGGAGTCCACGTTTCGCAAGCATAGAGAAGAGAGGGAATGACCGTGGCCGAGAAGACCCGAAGCTTAGTGCGGAGCGACAGACCAGGTAGCTTCCACACAGCGTTACGCAACCGATGAAAAGATATTGCCGCTCGACTGATTCGGAGTGAGACCTCTGCTGTTAAACTGGTGCCGGTCATAAGCACACTGCCCAGGTATGGGAAACTCTCCACTCTCTCCACAACTGCCCCATCACCGATTGGGAGTTGTGGGGGTGGAGTGTCCGATGGTACAAAATACCCAGGCAGGTGCTTAGTTTTGGTGGGGCTGATTGTAAAGCCCCATCTCTTAGTGGCACACTCCAGTCTCAGCAGCAGCGTCTCCAACTCCTCCTCTGAATGAGCAGCTATTACCAAATCATCGGCATACATAACGTGGTTGAGCAATAGGGAGCCATCCCTTGACCGCACCCAGGCATCGATCAGCCTCCCATTATATCTGTACCATATGGAGATTCCTCCGGTACAGCTATTGAAGGCTTCACGAACTACGTGGTCAAAATAGATGTTAAACAATGTGGGAGCCAGAGGGCATCCCTGTCGCACCCCAAGGTGTACAGGGAATGGCTCTGACTCCCGGCCACGTAGTTTTACCCGGGCCCGCTCACCATCATGAAGGTCCTTAATGATCGTGAGCAGAGGGTCAGGTACTCCAAAAGCACGAAGAACAACCCAGAGCCCAGGCCTACTGATGGTATCATAGGCCTTGACCAGGTCAATAAAGCAGAGATGTAGGTCTTGCTGGAATTCCCTACACCTCTGCTGTAGCAGACGGACAGAAAATATGGCATCTGTGCAGGACTGCCCTTTCCTGAAACCGCATTGGGCTCCGCAAGCCTCTCCTCAGCGTGCCTGGCAAGGCGATATTGAATAATCCTTGCCAGGACCTTTCCCGGCACACTGAGGAGTGAGATGCCCCTGTAGTTGTTACAGTCTGTGCGGTACCCCTTCTTAAAGAGGGGGACCACCAGGGCATCCTTCCAATCCTGCGGAACCCATCCAGTGGTCCAGACTGTTGTTATAATGTCATGTAGGGCAGTCTGTGCACAAACACCACCCTCCCTCAGCATTTTGCTTGGGAGATCATCTCTGCCCGCTGCCTTTTCTGGTCTCAGACTCCGGATCGCCTTCAGTACTTCCTCAACAGATGGCACTTCAGCCAGCCGCTCACAGGGGGTGACTTCTTCCAATATTTGAGGCACCGCAGCCTCAGCAGGGTCATCCTCACTTTGTGCCACGATGTTTTCCTGGCTGAGGAATTTTCCCTCCCCCAGGACCTCACAGAAATGCTCAGCAAATCTGCAAACCTGTTCCTGGGGGTCGGAGATTGGATCACCGTTTTTCCCCCTAATGATGGTAATAGGTGTGGCGCTGCAGGTTACTTTTTTGATGGAGTTAAATAGAGATTTGTGATCGCGGGCCACTGAGGCTAACTCCATCTCCTCAGCAACCCGGGACCACCACCCATCCTTGCAGTGCCTCACGGCTCTCCGAACCTCCGAGCGAAGGCTTCGGTAAGCCTCCTCATTCTCTGACGTGGGATTCTGTAGCCGATGACAGTGGGCCTGTCGCTTTTTCTCAACCATCCTCAACACCTCCTCTGTCAGCCAGGGTCTCTGGGGAGGTCTGGACCGCGTACCCAAAGCAGCCATTGCAGCTGCATGAGTCACAGTCCTAAACCTCGCCCATTTACCCTCGACGTCAGGAGGAGTGGGGGACGATGTCAACCTCAGCTGCAAGCGATGAAATTCTCGCTTGCAACTTTCATCAGATAACTGAGACCAGGCCACTTTAGGTTGGAATGGGGTCCTGGGTGTACACTCACCACCGGAGTGGATGAATGGCAGGTGCATCTTAAAGATGACTAGTCGATGGTCAGAGGACAGATCAGCTCCACGGTAGGTCCTGGTGTCAAGGACAGGGGCTCGCATCCGCTGGTCCGTCACTATGTCGTCCAGCAGATGTTCTTGCTTGGACCCGGCATGCATCCATGATGTTGTGTGGATGCGCCGATGCCGGAACAGCGTATTGGTAATTACAAACCCATGGGCTGCACAAAAATCTAGCAGCCTCCTACTGTTGTTATTGAGCTGATCTGGCCCATGCCCTCCAATCACTCCAGACCAGGTGCCATTATCATGACCAACTCGGGCATTGAAGTCACCCAACAAAATAACTCTATCCCGAGGGGCCACTTTAGCCAGCACCTGTGACAGGAGGTCATAGAAGGCATCTGACTCATCGGCTTTGCCTGCATCCCTCCACGGACGTTCGTCTTCGGTGGGGGCATAAGTAACCACGACCACCACTCCTCGCCTCCGGTTGATGGGAAGGTGAGCCCAAAGTAGCCTGAGGCTTACAGCTTCCCACACCTCACCGCCACGCTCCCACGCCCCCTTAATTCTTTTGTTCAAAAGAAGAGCCACACCCTGTTGTTTGGCAGTCTGCTGCCCCGAGTAGAGGACCGTCCACCCCTCATGGTGGCAGGAGCCAGAATCGGTCCACCAGACCTCCTGAATGCCACAGAGATCCTGGCGGTACCGGTCCAGCACCCGACAGAGGAGTGGCAGCCTCTCCTCCGCAGTGAGCATTCGAACATTCCACGTGGCCACACGAAGTGGCTTTTCGTTGTTTCTGGAGGAGCCCCGAGGGTAGAGATTCAATCTCCTGGCTCTGCCAATTGGGGTTTGGCCAGGAGACGTCATAGACGCCTGTCCCCCCGGGGCCTCCGGCACAAGCTTATTAGTTACATATCTCATTCGTAGTTTAGTGGTAATCAATTGAAGGTGGAGGGGTTACCAGCCCCTCGCACCCGTCCAGAGCCCCCATTTAGCCACTGTGGTGGACACAGACGCCATGAGGGGAGGAGCCAATCGGAATTGGCCCTCCCCCCACAGCACTGTCCACGACAGAGTTGCCCGTCCGGCACATGCACATACACGCATACAAAGACAAAGGTGGTGTAGGCTTGCCTACACACACAGATACACACATAGACAGTACATACAGTAAATAACTCATGAAATAAACTTAAAATTAAGAAAACTAGCAATACAAAAGATGAGGGGGAAAATATAGTTGAAAGCATTGTAAACAATTGCGCAATGCCACAAAAGGAACATGATTACGTAACGCTACAAAAATAACATTTCATTTAATCCTAGCGAAGCTCGGCCTTGGTGAAGGCGGCGTTTTGGTGGAGCGAGGCATAAGGCGGCCGTCCCCCTTCCGCCCCGCCCCGCGGTCTTTATCCGCTTCCTCACCTCACTGCACCTCTCGCCCTTACGTTACTAACGCAAACGTTTCCGCATGTTGATTTTTGTTTCGTGACATGATTCATGGGAAAATTTCGGTAAAGTCGGATTTCCGTAAGTTGGGTATTCCGCAACCCGGGGACTTGCTGTATAGTCCTAGCCATGAATCTATTTGGAATGAAGCAAAATCGTAAGTTCAAAGAAATCGCAAAACATCAAAGGTTGAACGGCGTCTGATTCTTGGCGCTCATTGTTTATTTTTCTTGTATCAGTTTACCAAACTATGCATTCCCTTTTGTTTGTTTTTTGGGGGGTGATGGGGTGTTGGGGTGTTGGGGGGACCACCTTGTAAACAGATGAAGCAAGTGAAACGGAACTCCTGTGGTGCGAGGAGTGCGGGAAGGCCAGAGGCTCCGCAACGAAGACGGCAAAGGCGCAACGCAGCAGCGACGGGACCCCGCGAGCCTGCACTCGGTGCGGGATGCCGCTCAAGGGCACCGCGGCAATCGCCACCGACGGGAGGAAGCCGCACGCCTGCCGGGAGCGCGGGAAGGGGTCTGCGACGCTCCCAAACTTGAACGGGCATTCTCGGAGGCGCGCCGGGGAACGGCCGCGCCCGAACGCTTGCGCCGAGCGCGGGGAGCCCTTCGCGCGACCCTCCAATGTGGAGGCGCGCGCGAGGACGCACGCGGGCGAGAGGCCGCACGCGTGCGAGGAGTGCGGCAAGGCGTTCGCGCGTCGCGAGCACCTGAAGACGCACCGCATGACCCACACGGCCGAGAGGCCGCACGCGTGCGCCGAGTGCGGCAAGCGCTTCGCGCAGCGCTCCCAGCTGAAAGTGCACTCGGCGACTCACACCGGGGAGAGGCCGCACGCGTGCGGGGAGTGCGGCAAGGGCTTCGTGCGGCCCTCCGGTTTGGAGGCGCACGCGAGGACGCACACGGGCGAGAGGCCGCACGCGTGCGCCGAGTGCGGGAAGCGCTTCACGCAGCGCTCCCAGCTGAACGTGCACTCCGCGACGCACACCGGGGAGAGGCCACACGCGTGCGGGGAGTGCGGGAAGCGCTTCGTGCGGCCCTCCGACCTGGAGGCGCACGCGAGGACGCACACGGGCGAGAGGCCGCACGCGTGCGCCGAGTGCGGGAAGGCGTTCGCGCGGCGCTCCCAGCTCAACTTGCACTCCGCGACGCACACGGGGGAGAGGCCGCACGCGTGCGGCGTGTGCGGGAAGGGATTCGTGCGGCGTTCCCACTTGGTCGCGCACGCGATGTCGCACACGGGCGAGAAGCCGCACGCGTGCGCGGAGTGCGGGAAGCGTTTTGCACACCGCTCTAATTTGGAGAAGCACACGAAAACGCACACCCGCGGGAGGTCGCGCGCGTGCAGCGAGTGAGGGAAGGGCTTTGCACAGCGCTATCAACTGGCCTGTGCGCTCCGAAACGCACATTGGTCAGGTGCCCTAAACGTTCGAGGAGCCCTAGAAGGCATTTTCACGGATGCGCGCTGTGAAGGTAATTTACGTCGAATGTGTACTTTGCATTACAAACCTTGGATCAGAGTTTCTTTTGTTTTTTTTTTAGCTAGGCCGAGGAGCAGCGTGCAGCCTCAAGACTCCTGGGCTCTGATGCAGTGAGCAACCTGCAGCCTCAGTAAGGGGCCGTCCATAAATGGCGTCACACGGCGTCGCAAAAAGTCAGCCCCTCCTCAATATGACGTCACAAAGCTCTGCCCCCCCCCCCCCCCCCAAAACCATATTTCCATTTTGAAAATAAAACATGCTTCAAATCGCTTTAAACTATTGTCATTGTAGTGTGTATTTAATGTGGCGCTGCACTCTGATGTTGTAGGAGAAAACACGTATTAAAAAGGAGGCGTTGGAAAGCTGAAATTTAGCATTAAATTAACTTGAAAATATTCAACGTCTAACTAAAACTGCAGATTTTCAGAATATATTGAAATTCTGTTACAATTATAAAATACGAGCTTTACTAGCCAGCTTCGCCCGATATTTGGATTCTTCTTCTTTGGTTCTTTCGGTAAAGTCACGTAGAATGAGAATAAAATAATAAATTGATAAAATAAAATAACACAATATTATTCTCAGAATAGTAAATTGATAAAATACGGGGAGGGTTTTCACATAACTTTAAGATCCTTCAACAAACTCCGGGATAAGAAAGCTCAGCTGATCGAGTCTCTCACCTTCCTGAAGAGATGCCGCGACTCTGGGGTAATACCAATCGCATTTACACTGACCTCTGCTGCTGTAACTTCTTCTAATGCGAAACGAATTCTTTTCAAAACTAGCTTAGCTCTTATCTCAGAAAAAATCAGACTTATACGCACCGAACTAGATCAGTTAGACAAGACACTCTACAAATCACACTTATCATTGACGGCAACAATGTCCACATCGGATTGGGAACATGTAGACAATATGACTGCCTCTTCAGCTGCTACTATGTCGACCAAATTTAAGGAAAACCTGATTTCCAAATTTAACCTCCTCTTCAACAAAAGACCGGACCCACACACCAAAAAGTTAGACGTTAACAAAGTCGTAATTAATCGCAGTAACAGTTCTCTTTCCGATGGTCTGAAATCCGTTTTAGCTAAAGGTCTAAACTTTGCAGTCACACCTAAACACATACCAGTTAATGATATAATTGCCCAAGTAGACGTTGCTCTCAGGGGCCTGGGTCACATCGCTGCAGACGTAGCAAGATCTGAAATCGCTGCAACCCTCAAAAACGCTAAGATGCCAGCTAGCAACCTCAGCACAGATGAGCGTTTTGAATTATATAAATTTAAAAAGAGGAATGATATTGTAGTCCTCTCAGCTGACAAAGGCAATGCTACTGTCATCATGGATAAAATAGAATACAACAACAAAATTAAAGAATTACTCGACGATGGTAGTTATACAAAAATAAAAAGAGATCCCACCAACAGCCTCGTCACACAAACCAACAAAATAATTTCTGATTCAACCGCATTAATTGATCAATCTAAACAGTTTTCGTTGAAACCTTCTGCTGCCAGGCCACCAAGATTCTACGGCTTACCAAAAATACATAAAGTAGATACACCCCTTCGTCCCATAGTCTCTACTATCGGCTCCCCCACCTACAAACTAGCTCGTTTTTTGTCTGAAATCCTGCGTCCTTTCACTGGAAAGACCACCTCTGCGGTACAAAATTCTACTCACCTGGTATCGACAATCAAGGGTATTTCCCTGTCCCCAGACGACCTGCTTGTCAGTTTTGATGTTTCCTTATTCACCAAGGTTCCTGTACCTGACACCATTGCAATCATTGAAGACTTGGTTCATCAAGGACTAAACACTGAGGTACCCCCCCTGGTGAGACACTGTTTAACCAATACATCACTTGGAATGGAACTTTCTACAAACAAACTGAGGGCACCCCAATGGGCTCCCCCCTTTCTCCAGTTATAGCTAACATTTTCATGGAGAAATTTGAGACTGACGCCATCCAGACTGCCACTCTGCGCCCAACCTTATGGAAGAGGTACGTGGATGACACTTTTGTCATCTGGCCACATGGCCGGCCTGCTCTAGACCAATTCTTCGACCACATCAATTCCATACACCCAGCCATCAGATTTACCATGGAAGTCGAAATAGATGGCAAGATACCTTTTTTGGATGTCCTAATTAAAAAGAGACCTGATGGTTCAATGAGCCACTCTGTCTACAGGAAAGCTACCCATACGGATGCTTATCTGAAACCGGATTCCCACCACCATCCATCACAGAAGAATTCTCTCATCAAGACTCTGTATCATAGAGCCCAATGCATATCCGACCAGGAACACATAAGCAGTGAACTCAAGCACGTACACCAAGCTCTTAGGGCTAATGGTTACTCCGACTATACAATCCGCAAAGCTATCACTCAAACCATGAAGAACCCTCTTGAGGAACCTTTCAAAACCATCACTTTACCCTACATTGCGGGTATCACAAAAAGATATCCAAAATCTTGAATAAACACAAGATCCAGGTCCGTTTCAACACATTACATAAAATCCGTGATCTGGTTCCGTCTGTAAAAGATGTGATTCCGGACATACAATACCCTGGTGTCTACAAACTAAGTTGCCTCTGTGGTAGTAGTTACATTTGAGAAACCAAACGCCATGTCTCGGACCGCATTCGTGAACACAAAGCAGACCTTAAACACGGTAGGACCAACACCTAGGCCGTGGCAGATCACTGTTATAATTTAGTAGGCTCACATGACATTGACTTCTCCAAGACAGAGGTTCTTTGTAAGCCATCTGGCTACCATGAGAGATTCGTTCATGAGGCTATCCACATATACAAACAGAGACAATTTCAACCGAGAAGATGGATTCTGGCTTAGCAATCATTGTAAGGATTTGATAAAGCATTTCGGGTCTTAATTGATTGTTCACGCTTACGGTGGCTTTCAGACCGCATCCATTATTTTCGTCTCTCCCCTCCTGTTTTCCGAACATAGATGGACTCGTCCATCTGAACAAACTGCCAAATCGCTCTCCGTGGTGCTAACGTTAAAAAACGCCACTTTTTTCAAAATTTCTTGCTGTGGTTTTCACACCTGATGATGATTGCTTGTGTTGCAGTCGAAACGTCGTGAGAATTTTATTGTTTTATATATTTTTATTATTTTATTGTTTCCCTTCTACGTGGTGGTGGCTTTACCGAAAGAACCAAGAATATGAATCCCTGCAGTCACGAAAGCTTTAAATCAAATTTCAAATTGATAACCAAGTTGAATAAAACGAAACTTATTTTACCAGATACAGCCCACTGAGCTGTTAGCTTCTTTTTCAGAAACGACCTGGCCACAAACGATAGTTCAATTAAGTGGCTTATCAAATGTATAGCAGCCAAATACTCTAAACGCGTGATTTTGGTTCAAAATGTGGAGAGAGAAACCGGAGGACCCGGAGAAAAATCCTCGTGACCATCACGGGGAGACACGCAAACTCCAAATACACAGCAGCAGGCGCTACGGTCAGGATCGAACCCACGACCTCCTGTACACCAGGCGAGGTAGTTAACATCTCATAGCCATCGTGATGATGATGAGAGACCCAGACTCCAAATATACAGCAGGCGCTAGGGTCAGGATCGAACCCACGACCTCCTGCATACCAGGCGAGGTAGTTAACACGCAAGCTCCAAATCTATAGCAGCAGGCAGGGTCAGGGTCGGGATGGAACCAACGACCTCCTGTACACCAGGCGAGGTAGTCAACATCTCGTGTCGTATTTTGACACGGAGCACACACTCCACGCGCCCGATGGTTGGGCTGTCTTCGTTTGGAAGTGAGACCTCGTCTTGTACGCAATCTAGCCGTTTCACTATTTTGTCTTGTCGGTGCATCTTGTCGCCTGCTGCGATGCGAATGGGGCGGATGAGGTCGCTGCAAAGAAACGAGCCAGATTAGACAGAGGCACAGACACAGAGACGTGGAGAGAGACACAGATTAGACAGAGGGACAGACACAGAGACGTGGAGAGAGACACAGATTAGACAGAGGGACAGACACAGAGACGTGGAGAGAGACAAACAGATTAGACAGAGGGACAGACAGAGACGTGGAGAGAGACAGACAGATTAGACAGAGGGACAGACACAGAGACGTGGAGAGAGACAGAGGGACAGACACAGAGACGTGGAGAGAGACACAGATTAGACAGAGGGACAGACACAGAGACGTGGAGAGAGACAGATTAGACAGAGGGACAGAGACGTGGAGAGAGACACACAGATTAGACAGAGGAACAGACACAGAGACGAGGAGAGAGACACACAGATTAGACAGAGGGACAGACACAGAGACGTGGAGAGAGACAGATTAGACAGAGGCACAGACACAGAGACGAGGAGAGAGACACAGATTAGACAGAGGGACAGACAGAGACGTGGAGAGAGACAGATTAGACAGAGGAACAGACACAGAGACGTGGAGAGAGACAGATTAGACAGAGGCACAGACACACAGACGAGGAGAGAGACAGAGGAACAGACACAGAGACGTGGAGAGAGACACACAGATTAGACAGAGGGACAGACACAGATACGTGGAGAGAGACACAGATTAGACAGAGGGACAGACACAGAGACGTGGAGAGAGACAAACAGATTAGACAGAGGGACAGACACAGATACGTGGAGAGAGACACACAGATTAGACAGAGGGACAGACACAGAGACGTGGAGAGAGACACAGATTATACAGAGGGACAGAGACGTGAAGAGAGACAGATTAGACAGAGGGACAGACACAGAGACGTGGAGAGAGACAGATTAGACAGAGGGACAGACACAGAGACGTGGAGAGAGACACAGATTAGACAGAGGGACAGACAGAGACGTGGAGAGAGACAAACAGATTAGACAGAGGGACAGAGACGTGGAGAGAGACAGATTAGACAGAGGGACAGACACAGAGACGTGGAGAGAGACACAGATTAGACAGAGGGACAGAGACGTGGAGAGAGACACAGATTAGACAGAGGGACAGACACAGAGACGTGGAAAGAGACACAGATTAGACAGAGGGACAGACACAGAGACGAGGAGAGAGACAAACGCCGAGTCCTTCACCTCAACCCGCATTGACCAGCATGGTAAAGTATGATCAAATTACCCCTCCACTAGGGCTGAACGATTTGGGGAAGATATCTCATTTAGATTTTTCTGACGGTGTAGTGTATAGTGTAGTATGCTGTGTGTAGTGTAGTTGTAGTGTATAGTGTAGTATACAGTGAGGGAAAAAAGTATTTGATCCCCTGCTGATTTTGTACGTTTGCCCACTGACAAAGAAATGATCAGTCTATAATTTTAATGGTAGGTTTGTTTGAACAGTGAGAGACAGAATAACAACAACACAATCCAGAAAAACGCATATCAAAATTTTTATAAATTGATTTGCATTTTAATGAGGGAAATAAGTATTTGACCCCCTCTCAATCCGAAAGATTTCTGGCTCCCAGGTGTCTTTTATACAGGTAACGAGCTGAGATTAGGAGCACACTCTTAAAGGGAGTGCGCCTAATCTCAGCTTGTTACCTGTATAAAAGACACCTGTCCACAGAAGCAATCAATCAGATTCCAAAATCTCCACCATGGCCAAGACAAAAGAGCTCTCCAAGGATGTCAGGGACAAGATTGTAGACCTACACAAGGCTGGAATGGGCTACAAGACCATTGCCAAGCAGCTTGGTGAGAAGGTGACAACAGTTGGTGCGATTATTCGCAAATGGAAGAAACACGAAATAACTGTCAATCTCCCTCGGCCTAGGGCTCCGTGCAAGATCTCACCTCGTGGAGTTGCAATGATCATGAGAACGGTGAGGAATCAGCCCAGAACTACACGGGAGGATCTTGTCAATGATCTCAAGGCAGCTGGGACCATAGTCACCAAGAGAACAATTGGTAACACACTACGCCGTGAAGGACTGAAATCCTGCAGTGCCCGCAAGGTCCTCCTGCTCAAGAAAGCACATATACATGCCCGTCTGAAGTTTGCCACTGAACATCTGAATGATTCAGAGGACAACTGGGTGAAAGTGTTGTGGTGAGATGAGACCAAAATGGAGCTCTTTGGCATCAACTCAACTCGCCATGTTTGTAGGAGGAGCAATGCTGCCTATGACCCCAAGAACACCATCCCCACCGTCAAACATGGAGGTGGAAACATTATGCTTTGGGGGTGTTTTTCTGCTAAGGGGACAGGACAACTTCACCGCATCAAAGGGACGATGGACGGGGCCATGTACCGTCAAATCTTGGGTGATAACCTCCTTCCCTCAGCCAGGGCATTGAAAATGGGTCGTGGATGGGTATTCCAGCATGACAATGACCCAAAACACATGGCCAAGGCAAAAAAGGAGTGGCTCAAGAAGAAGCACATAAAGGTCCTGGAGTGGCCTTGCCAGTCTCCAGACCTTAATCCCATAGAAAATCTGTGGAGGGAGCTGAAGGTTCGAGTTGCCAAACGTCAGCCTCGAAACCTTAATGACTTGGAGAAGATCTGCAATGAGGAGTGGGACAAAATCCCTCCTGAGATGTGTGCAAACCTGGTGGCCAACTACAAGAAACGTCTGACCTCTGTGATTGCCAACAAGCGTTTTGCCACCAAGTACTAAGTTATGTTTTGCAGAGGGGTCAAATACTTATTTCTCTAATTAAAATGCAAATCAATTTATAACATTTTTGACATGCGTTTTCTGGATTTTGTTGTTGTTATTCTGTCTCTCACTGTTCAAATAAACCTACCATTAAAATTATAGGCTGATCATTTCTTTGTCAGTGGGCAAACGTACAAAATCAGCAGGGGATGAAATACTTTTTTCCCTCACTATATAGTGTAAAGTGTAGAGTGTAGCCTAGTGTATAGTATAGTATGCAGTGTATAGTATAATATATAGTGTAAAGTGAAGCGTAGTGTATAGTGTAGTATGTAGTGTATAGTGGAGTATATAGTGTAAAGTATAGTGTGTTTTGTCACATGTGTGTGTGCTAATCAGATGTGTGGGGGAAGGGCAAAAAACTAAACCCATAAAGCAGTTCTAAAAATATTAATTTTAGTATCGTGGTGTAATGTATAGTAGTGTAGTGTGTAGCCTTGGATGTAGTGTAGTATGTAGTGTATAGTGTATTATAGTGTAGCGTATAGTGTAGTGTGTATTGTAGAATGTAGTGTATAGTGTAGTATGTAGTGTATATTTTAGCGTATAGTATAGTGTAGTGTATATTTTAGTGTATAGTATAGTGTAGTACGTTGAACTTCTTTTGCACCGTATGTAGCCAACCACGCTAATCGGAGGTGCAGGGGAAGGACAACAAACGAAACACAAAAAGCAGTTCTAAAGAAATGGGTTTGTAATCGAGATTAGTTAGAAGTGCCCAGCTCAAGCGGCTTCCTAATATCGGAAGGACGAGCGTTTCCAGGCAGCCGCAGAAGCGCGTCTGAAAGTGCGCGATGCGTTGACCGTCTTTTCTGCGATGGCCAGCCAAAATCCGCCGCTGCTGCCGCCGCTGTGAGGGTGACCATCGGAGTTCGCGTGATGGTGGTTTTATGGCCCCTTGCCGAGATCAGCGAGGTTTTGCGGTTCGTTTATGGAATGCGAGGATTGCAATTTTTCCTTTGTTTTCCCCTTCAGATGGATCCACACTTCGAATTGCCCTTCATCAAACAAGAATACGAAGAACATCCAAATCCAGTGATAGGCTCCGACTTGATAGTGAAACGTGAATATGCAGATGATGGTGAGTGATCATAGACATCAAATACGATTGCAATGCTAATTGATACTCTTTGGTTCTTTCGGTAAAGTCACGTAGGTAAAATTTGTATAAAATTTTAAATAAAATGAAACAAAAATGAAAACAACTCAATTAAATCACGACGTTTCGGAGGCAACACAAGCTTCCTTCATCAGGTGTAAAAAGCACAGCAAAATTACTGTAGAGAGAGCTATTTGTGATGAGAGATTAATTATATAGGGTAAGAGGAGGTGGGAGGAGCCAGGGAGGACGGATGCAGGGTGGGGGGGGGGGGCTTTGGGGTGTGGGTGGCGGGAGCCAGGATGGTGAAGCTGCTCCTGCTATTGCTCCTGTACCACGAATGGGGGGGGGGGGGGGGGGGGGAGCACGGAAAGAGGGAGAGTGGCGGCTAAAGTTTAACATGGTTAATAACATCTTTCCAATGATTGCTCAATTTGAATCCATCTTCTCGGTTGAAGTTATGTCTATGATTGTATATCTGTATGGCTTCATGGACAAATCTTTGGTGGCATCCAGACGGCTTGTAGAGCAAACCACTCTTTACACTCAAATCCAATTCTAAAATGCTATACACGACACTATACACTGCTATACACTACACTTCTGGTTAACCATCGGGACAAAGACGGTCACCGCATCACATGCTTTTAGATGCACTTCTGCAGCCTGTCTGGTATGCTCTCCCGATATTTGGAAGCCATATACCACCCTTAAAATTATCTAGATTGAAAACTAAATTCTTTAGAACTGCTTGTTGTGTTATATTTGTTGTCCTTCCCGTCTCATTTGGCTACGTACGGTGGTGCAAAAGTAGTTCAACGCACATGCTTACGGTCGGGGAGGGACAATCGTGCAATCAAAAATGTACATTTGCTCGTAAAAGATAACGGTACCTTTGTTACCAGTAGTGATCAGCTGGCAGCGGTTGTTCATCACGTGACAAATTTATGAATTGGCCGTGTTGGGTGGAGGAAGGCGTTTACGACACACATTTTATTCACACGGCGATCTGACTCAAAATAACTAATTTATGAATCAATGCAGTATTTGGCGCGACTGTCTCCTGCGTGTTAGGAATCCAAACTGTTTGAATATTATTCTGTTGCGGTTTTAACAGATTAGTGTGAATGCGCGTGTGTGTAGTAGTAGTGGCGGTGTAGCGGTTAGCGCACTGCCCTACGAACCCGGCGACCCGAGTTCGATTCCCGCTCACGGCCAACACCAGTGGCGATTACCTGAGCCAGTCTTGTGCCTCCCCCTAGGTCGAATAGGCCTCAAACGAGTACCTGGTCCATTGTGTCAACATTGCCTCTCAGGAGACAAAGGCGGCAGGGCGTGGTGCTGGCCACCCACCCCACCTCGTGTGCCGTGCCGGCCTGCATAGGTGCTCGCCAACAGCACTTGCCGCAACAGTCTCTTAAGGTTACATGGGGGATCTTTATCTCTTGTGTAGGAGCAGTTGAGGTGCAAGGAGATGAAGCGGGTCTGGACGATGAAAGGTTAAGGAAAGCGGTGAAATCTGAATTTGAGAAACAAGGTAAGGGCTCATTCCTACACGAAAGTAGAGCGGATCGATGAGAAAAAGATTGTGCCAGAGATGCCTAAGGTGTTAAGGAGGGTCGAATGGCCAGGCCATGGCGGCTATGCACGTGGCCTGTGATCCAGCACTTGTGGAGGCAGCGGCAGCAGATTCAACCCGTTGCATTGTGGGTACCGGAAGTTCCACAGCACCGAGATGGCCCTGCGAAAGATCACCGACGACCTCGACAAGGTCGCAGATGGCTGGTGCGCCGCAGCGTTGGTTCAACTCGACCTCTCAGCCGCCTTCGACACCATCGACCATGAGATACTCATCGGGTGGCTAAGGTCAAGGGGCCGTCCATAAATGACGTCACGCACCTGGGGGGGGGGGGGGGGGGGGAGTCAGACATTTGTGACGATGTGTGACGAGAGGGGTGGGTGGGGGTCAAAAATCGTCCAGAATCACGTGACGTCATTTATGGACGGCCCCCAAGGTTCGGTGTGTCAGGTACGCCACTTGGGATGGATTGAGTCGTACCTACTCGACACGGACGTTCGCAGTTTGTCAAGCTCGGCGACGAACAGTCATCGCCTGTGCCGTGCCTAGCAGGCGTACCAACAGGGGTCCGTCCTCGGGCCCTTCCTGTTTTCAACGTTACGTCTCTCCGATCGCCGAAGTCATCTCATCGCACGACATCAAGTCCCATCAATATGCTGACGATACACACTTGTACACCGCAGTGAAGTCAAAGTTAGGCGTGAAGAGCCTCAGTAACCTCGAAGGTTGCACGCGAGCGGTGCACGTGTGGTTTGCACGACACGAAATGCCGCTTGTTGTAGAAAAACCGGAGGTTCTGCTGGTTGGCACTCAGGCTCAGGCGAGAACATTTGTGAGAGGATCAGGTGTGGCAGTCGTTGACCCCAGGGCTCAGTTTTCTACTCATCTAAAGAGCCTCGGCACCACACTCGACCAGAATATGTCGTTTGATCACCGCGTGCGTGATATAGTCAGGTCCTGCAATTTTGTTATCAGGGCTCTGCGACACCTTCGGCCACTATTGAGTCATGACGTTGTCAACACGGTGGTGGCGTGTAGCATAGTACCGATATGGCTCGATTATTGCAACTTGCTACTCTACGGGATGTCTGGCAAAAAGCATTACCAAGCTGCAGCGTGTACAAACTTCTCGAACACAAGTCGCAACGTGTACTGCAGTGTCTGTCCAGTGCTCGCCAAGCTGCATTGCACTCATTACAAACAAAGATTGTCACCCCGCATCGCACGCTTTCAGATGCGCTTCTGTGGCCGCTGGGAATGCTCTTCCGATATTAGGAAGCTTTCTGTGTTTAGTTTGTTGTCCTTCTCCCGGACCTCCGATTTTCACGGTTGGCTACATAGGTAACGATAGGAGTTCAACATGCATGCAAATAGGTGAGATATTCTAGATTTAAAGCTTTCGTGACTGCTAGGATCCATACTCTATGGTTCTATTGGGTAAAGTCACGTAGGTGAAAATAAAATAACAAAAAATCACGACGTTTCGGCCACAACACAAGCAGCCTTCATCAGGTGAAGGGCGCTGTCCTCCAGACAGTCTCGTCCCTTCACCTGATGAAGGCCGCTTGTGTTGTGGCCGAAACGTCGTGATTTTTTGTTATTTTATTTTCACCTACGTAGGTGAGATATCACAACGGTTTGATGTTTACGACCAAAGAGGTAAACAAAGGCAATATAGCAAGATTTGTAAACGTCGAACTGCCCATTCTTACATTACCATAGCGCGTATTCTACATTACAGCCACAGATGTGTGGATTGTCAAAGGTGAAGAAGGTCACGAGAGGCCAGCGGAGATGGGCGATTCCCGCGGATGCGTGGATGCTCCAGACCAGAACTTCATCGAGGTGGAGTTGTCAGAGGAAGACACGTGTGAAGGTGAGTCCTCCTTTAACCACTCCACTGCCTTCGATGTACCGTCTCTTCTGCGCTTCATGGAAAAATCGCGTTGTGAAAAGTAATTTTGAATATAGGAGACCAAAGCACAGTCTTGCGATAACACGTGAGATGTGTAACGCAGGCCTGAACAAAGGCCGAGGCGCGTGGGTAGCATCTAGAAGCATCCAGCAGCATCCCAACGCCTTGTGCGATGATGATGCTTGCGCCGAGGAAGCCGTATTACGAGCGCTTAGTCCTACTCGCGTGACGTAGTTCTGTTCGCTCGTTCGCGTTATAATATCCAATTCGTATTCGCGTTGTAAAAAGTGAGTTCCCTATAATGCATTCATCATCGCGTTACACCCAAGTCGCGTTATGAAAACAACGCGCGGCGTTATAGGGGAACAGACTGTGGCCGATGATTTTGGAACGGAGCAGAATCATCATTGAAGCGGCCCTTGACCCAAAAAAAAATGCAGACGTGAAATGTTAACGGTGCTGTTTTCCGGGACCGATAGTTTTTCTTCTTCGCTCGCATCGGCTGGTCCGACGATTCGCTGCCCTCCTTCCTCCTTTGTTCAAAACAGACGGAGCAAGAGACGCGGAACTCGCGTGCGAGGGGTGCGCCGGTGGCGGAGGCTTCGCGGGCCTCCCCGGCGAGACGCAACGCGCCTGCGAGCGATGCGGCAAGGCGCCCGGGGGCGCCGCCCGTCGCACGACGGCCGCCGCCGACGGCACGGAGCGAGGGCCGCGCGCCGGCGCGCGGCCACGCGTCTGCAGGCGGCGCGGGGAAGGCGCTCGCGCGCCGCGAGCGCCCGCGGTTGCGCCGCGCGACGCGGCACGCGGGCGAGAGGCCGCACGCGTGCGACGAGTGCGGGAAGGGGTTCGCGCGGCGTTCGCATTTGGTCGCCCACGCGAGGACGCACACGGGCGAGAGGCCGCACGCGTGCGCCGAGTGCGGCAAGGCGTTCGCGACCCCGTACACGTTAAAGAAGCACTCCGCGGTACACGCGGGAGAATGGTCGCACGCGTGCGCCGAGTGCGGCAAGCGCTTCGCGCAACGTTCGGAGTTCAAAAAGCACGCGAGGACGCACGCCGGCGGGAGGCCGCACGCGTGCGCCGAGTGCGGCAGGGCGTTCGCGCGTCGCGAGCACCTGAGGGGGCACTCGGCGACGCACACGGGGGAGAGGCCGCACGCGTGCGAGGAGTGCGGCAAGGCGTTCGCTCGACGCGAGCACCTGAAGACGCACCGCATGACCCACACGGCCGAGAGGCCGCACGCGTGCGCCGAGTGCGGCAAGCGCTTCGCGCAGCGCTCCCAGCTGAAAGTGCACTCGGCGACTCACACCGGGGAGAGGCCGCACGCGTGCGGGGAGTGCGGCAAGGGCTTCGTGCGGCCCTCCGACCTGGAGGCGCACGCGAGGACGCACACGGGCGAGAAGCCGCACGCGTGCGCCGAGTGCGGCAGGGGCTTCGCGCAGCGCTCCCAGCTGAACGTGCACTCCGCGGTGCACACCGGGGAGAGGCCGCACGCGTGCGGGGAGTGCGGCAAGCGCTTCGCCCACCGCAACAATTTGGCGAAGCACGCGCGGACGCACACGGGCGAGAGGCCGTACGCGTGCGCCGAGTGCGGCAAGGGCTTTTTGCAACGCTCCCAATTGACCCTGCACTCCGAGTTGCACGTTGGGCCGATGACCTAAATAGTATTTTTAACGCGAAAGAAAATGTCCCCCTCACTCCCACCGAAGGCGTGCGACTTGGCATGGGCCGTCCCCCCTACCGAAGGCACGTGCGTTGGTATGGCCGTGCACGCGCCATAAATAAATAAAGAAAAGGGAAGCGCACAAAAAAAATGGCACTAAATCGCTAATTAAACTCATTTAAAATTGACGGATGTGAAAAAGGAATAGCGCTTGCTCACCGCAGGGCTTACGGCGTGGTACCTGGCTATTTTTATTTTACGTAAACCCCACCGTTGGAGAGGCAAATTGTTCGCAAGTGCGCGAACACACACAAACCCACCAAAAAACCCACAGACACTTTTTGACATATATAGAAGATGTCTACCGCGCAGCAAACGCATTGAAGCAGAGTCGCGTTTCTATTGACCACGGTGAATTTATGAGATGAAATAATGCGAAGAACACCAGTTGCCATTGTCGCAGCATGCACACTTAAACTCCGAACTCCGCACCTCTGATTAGCGCGGCTGGCTACGCACGGTGCGAAAGAAGTTCAGCATGCACACAAACTATTTGCATTCAAGAGCTATTAACCCTTTCCCATTCCGATGCACGATCAACTGGGCTCGACTCGGGCTGAACCGTGCGCGCTATGAACTCGGCCCGAGCTCAGGCCTGATCATGCGTACGTCATCAGTCTTCGATGACGTGCGTGCGCGTACGTCATCGGAATCGGAAGATGAAATAGAAACAACTTCATCGGCACGACTTCCGCCCGGGAAGGCTCCCAACCACGAGGTCACGCGGGGAGGGGCGTGTGGCACAGATTGTTTGGCGCCGGCTATCGTCGGTGAGTAACGACGTCTTTGTAAGAGCAACAGAGCCTCTCGTGCCGTTCCGAGATTCGGGACCCATCCACCACCCCGCAAACTTGCAGGCGTCTCGGAGCGGGAGAAGGGTTACTAAGATATCAGCTGCCTCGTGATTATTATCAATCCCCTACTGCAGCGATGGCCAATACACCAAGCACTGATGATCAATGTTGGTGGATCCACCAGAATGGGATGACCAACAGTTACCTGCATTGAACCCCGGTAAGGCCAAAGGTTATTATTTATTTCAACGAGGTAAGCAGGTTTATTTATTATGCAACGAGATTCCTTTTGCACGTTAAAAAAAAACATACATTTGTCTATCCTGTCCTGTCACACGAGTCACAAAACCTTGTACGGTGCTGGGTCATTAAAAGTCCATGACAGTATTTAAAAAGGATGAGCTTTGAGATGTATAAGGGCACGGGGGTGACCAATGAGGTCTGCGTTGGTCTGTAATAAGGCAGGAACTGAGTGCTGCTTGGAATCGAATAATTAAAGAATGCATTGTTTAAATGCATGCCTATACAGGGTCACCATACTTAAATAGGGATTACCGTTCGTACAGCTATTTTAGTACGAAACTGGAAGATTTCTGCACAAATCTGGCTGTCGCCTGATGATGCTGGTTGTAATTACTGGCGAGACGTCATACTGTCACTGCTGTGGCTTTGCTCTCCAACACACAACCGGTTAGTGCTGTACCAGCAACGAATTGGCACGTTCCGTTCACGTGACAAACCTTTACTAATTGGATGTGGCGGGTGGTGGTGGGTTTCACAACACATATACAGGGTGCTTCAAAATAAATGTTGACGCTTGTGAGAATACGCAACAACACCACGAGGAATATGCCTCCATGGCTCTGGAGACAACTTGGAGAAGATTCCGGGGCACGCATTGACAACGATGGCGAACAAGTGGGAGACTTCTTCTTGGTTCTTTCGGTGAAGTCACGTAGAATGAGAATAAAACAAAACATTGAAGCGCTGTCGTCCCGACAGTTCTGTTCCTTCACCTGAAGAGGGCTACTTGTGTTGTGGCCGAAACGTCGTGAGAATTGTATTGTCTTATTTTGTTTTATTGTTTTATTCCCATTCTACGTTGTGACTTTACCGAAAGAACCAAGAAAATGAATCCTTGCAGTCACGAAAGCTTTAAGTCGAAATTCAAGTGGGAGACTCGTCGAAGCCTTTAACATTACATTTGTTTTTATTCTTGGTTCTTTCGGTAAAGTCACCACCATGTAGAAGGGAAACAATAAAATAATAAAAAATATAAAACAATAAAATTATCACGACGTTTCGACTGCAACACAAGCAATCGTCATCAGGTGTGAAAACCACAGCAAGATAGTTTTCAAAAAAAATTCAAATTTCACATTTTTTTCAAAATGTCTTGCTTCGGTTTTCACACCTGATGATGATTGCTTGTGTTGCAGTCGAAACGTCGTGAGAATTTTGTTTTATATTTTTATTATTTTGTTGTTTCCCTTCTACGTGGTGACTTTACCGAAATCACTAAGAATATGAATCCCTGCAGTCACGAAAACTTTAAATCAAAATTTGATTTGTTATAATAGGGTTTCCCCCCTTTTTTCTGGCAACAAAACTGAAACCTTTTTACAAGGATTCATATCTGCATTAACCACAATACCTGCAGTCAAAATGCAAACAAAAAAAACATACTATGATATGATGCATTGTCCTAGAATCTGATTGGTCCACGCCAAGGGACGGCTTTCTTTTGAGCCTCGACCCAATTGGTGCTCGACCAGATGACGCCAAAAGGCGTCACGCAGCTCAAAGACAATGCCACTATCAAAGTAATGAGGGCTCGGGGTGAGCATCTACATCATCATTAGACCTTTGCCAGTACCAAAATATAATAATAGGGTTTGTTGCCAGAAAAAATGGCAAAAACCCTATTATATTTTGGTACTGGCAAAGGAGGTCTAATGATTTGTTATCATGTTACAGTGTATTATCGTCCCGTATGAGTGTTAAAAAAACTGTTTGAAGCACCCTAAATTTACGCGAATTAACTTCCCAAAAAAACCTTATGGATGAATATTGGTCGCGAATGCCCAGTTCAGTGTTCAACTGATAAGGGGGGGTGGACGGGTGCGGCACGGGCTAGAGAAGAGATGGAGTGATGTGGTACAGGAGGACGTGGAGCTGAGTGGACTTGCCGATGACGGGTACCAGCGGTGTCAAGATCGGCCTCTGTGGAGGAGGCTCGTGAAGGACGCTACTGGGCAGTTGGAGGTAGTCGCCCTCCAACAACAACGGAGGGCGGAGGAGCGACGCTCACAACAACGAGCGGAGCGCCGGGTGGCTAAAGCACAGCAGGTTGGCACAGGTGGTGCATCAGCCAGTCATCTCAGTCAGTCGACCCGTGGCACCTGGGTCTGCCCCGTGACCACCTGCCAGCGGGCGTTCGACACGTCACGTGGCCTCGAGGTGCACATGGCCTGGCACTGGCGTCGTGGTGACGTCACCTCCCACTTAGTGGCGAATGGCGGTTGTTGTTGTGGACGGGCAAGTGACTTTGTGGTGACCGAAACGAGCAAAGCACAGGACGAAAGACGGCCTCGGTTCGACCCCCCCACCCTCTAGCGGGCGGTGGCTGCTTCAGTGTCTTGTGCCGCATCTTGTCGCTTGGATGCGCCGTGCAAAGGGGGCGGGGCGATAGGAGGGGAGGGGGCTGGGGCTTACAGAGACACGAGGAGGAGAGACAAAGGGAGAGAGACATCGAGACACAGGGAGACAGAGAGACACAGGGAGACATCGAGACACAGGGAGAGAGACATCGAGACAGACGGAGAGAGACAGGGAGACAGACACAGGGAGACATCGAGACACAGGGAGACATCGAGACACAGGGAGACATCGAGACAGGGAGAGAGACATCGAGACACAGGGAGAGACAGGGAGACAGAGAGACACAGGGAGAGACACAGGGGGACATCGAGAGAGGGAGACACAGGGAGACATCGAGACACAAGGAGACATCGAGACACAGGGAGACATCGAGACACAGGGAGAAAGACATCGAGATACAGGGAGAAAGACATCGAGACACAGGGAGAGAGACATCGAGACACAGGGAGAGAGACAGGGAGACGCAGGGAGACAGACAGGGAGACAGAGACACAGGGAGACATCGAGACACAGGGAGAGAGATATCGAGACACAGGGAGACAGAGAGACACAGGGAGAGACACAGGGAGAGAGACAGGGAGAGACAGGGAGAGAGACAGAGAGACACAGGGAGACAGAGACACAGGGAGACATACATCGAGACACAGGGATAGAGACACAGGGAGAGAGACAGGGAGAGAGATATCGAGACACAGGGAGACAGAGAGACACAGGGAGACAGACATCGAGACACAGGGAGAGAGACACAGGGAGAGAGACACAGGGAGACAGAGAGACACAGGGAGAGAGACACAGGGAGAGAGACATCGAGACACAGGAAGAGAGACAGGGAGACAGAGACACAGGGAGAGAGACAGGGAGACACAGGGAGACATCGAGACAGGGAGAGAGACATCGAGACACAGGGATAGAGACAGGGAGAGACACAGGGTGAGAGACAGGGAGAGACACAGGGAGACAGGGAGAGAGACAGGGAGACACAGGGAGACTTGGACAGAGGGACAGGGAGGGAGGGGTGACTAGAGAGACAGGGAGAGAGACACAGGGAGAGAGACATCGAGACACAGGGAGAGAAACATCGAGACACAGGGAGAGAGACATCGATACAGGGAGACATCGAGACAGGGAGATAGAGAGACAGGGAGAGAGACACAGGGAGAGAGATATCGAAACACAGGGAGAGAGATATCGAGACACGGGGAGAGAGACAGAGAGACACAGGGAGAGAGACAGAGAGACACAGGGAGAGAGACAGGGAGACAGAGAGACACAGGGAGAGAGACATCGAGACACAGGGAGAGAGACAGGGAGACAGAGAGACACAGGGAGAGAGACATCGAGACACAGGGAGAGAGACAGGGAGACAGGGAGAGAGACATCGAGACAGGGAGAGACACAGGGAGACAGGGAGAGAGACACAGGGAGACGTGGACAGAGGGACAGGGAGGGAGGGGTGACTAGAGAGACACAGGGAGAGACACAGGGAGAGAGACACAGGGAGAGAGACATCGAGACAGGGAGGGAGACACAGGGAGACAGGGAGGGAGACAAGGAGAGAGACACAGGGAAGGAGACAGGGAGGGAGACAAGGAGAGAGACATCGAGACAGGGAGAGAGACATCGAGACAGGGAGGGAGACACAAGGAGAGAGACACAGGAAAGGAGACAAGGAGAGAGACACAGGGAGAGAGACACAGGGAGAGACACAAGGAGAGAGACACAGACAGACAGACAGACGTGGAGACTCAACACGTGGTGAGTCCTGACACCCCCGCACGTGACGCACGGCGTGGTGAAGTATGGTCATCTTGACCCCCCTCCCCTCCCCACGCCTTGCACAGCGTGGGGTTGGAGGCATTCATCCAGCAGTGGATACCCAACTTTGTTAACTCTGAGGTCTTTCGGCGAAGCCCCGTAGATTTATGTTCAAAGAAAGGAACACATTTTTTTTTTAAAAAAACCGACGTTTCGATCTCAAGCCAAGCCATCCTTTTTGCTTTTTGTTCTCAACGGTTTTAGTTGATTCTTCCTGATGACGGTCGGCTTGTGTCGGGACCGAAACGTCGTCTTCGTGTTTGTTGTGTTATTTGTCGTGTTATTTTCTTCGGAAAGCCCTGATCTCTACGTGTCTTCGCCCGAAAGACCCCAAGGAATACGAATTCCTGCAATTCACGGAAGCAAAATTTATTTATTTTCATTTAAAAAAAGTCGAGAATTTGTTAGCGGGCAATGTCATCGTGAAGCAGGCGAAGCTCTCCCCCACCTGATGATGGACGCTTGCGTTGCGCACGAAACGTCGTTTTTTTATGACCTACGTGACTTTACCGAAAGAGCAAAAGGGTATAGTGAACGGGCCAGCTTGAGTGTAGTATATAGTGTATCGTAGTGTATAGTAGTGTAGTATATAGTGTATCGTAGTGTAGTGTAGAGTAGTGCATAATGTAGTGTAGTGTATCGTAGTGTAGTGTGTAGCTGAGTATATAGTGTAGTGTATAGTGGTGCAGTGTATATTAGTGTATAGCAGTGTAGTGTATAGTAATGTAGTATATAGTGTATCGTAGTGTATAGTAGTGCATAATGTAGTGTAGTGTGTAGCTGAGTATAGTGTAGTGTACAGTAGTGCAGTGTATAGCAGTGTAGTGTACAGTAGTGCAGTGTATAGCAGTGTAGTGTATAGTAGTGTAGTATGTAGTGTATAGTAGTGCATAATGTGTATAGCTGAGTATATAGTGTAGTATGTAGTGTATAGTGGTGCAGTGTATAGTAGTGTAGTATGTAGTGTATACACTGCACTACTATACATGTAGTGTGTTCTAGTGTAGTGTATAGTAGTGCATAATGTAGTGTGTAGATGAGTATATAGTGTAGTATGTAGTGTATAGTGGTGCAGTGTATAGTAGTGTAGTATGTAGTGTATAGTAGTGTAGTGTATAGTAGTGCAGTGTATAGTCGTGTATATCAGTGTAGTATGTAGTGTGTAGTAGTGTAGTGTATAGTAGTGTAGTGTATAGTGGTGCAGTGTATAGTAGTGTAGTGTATAGTAGTGTAGTGTATAGTGGTGCAGTGTATAGTGGTAAAGTGTATAGTAGTGTATAGTAGTGCAGTGTATAGTCGTGCAGTGTATAGTAGTGTATAGTAGTGCTGTGTATAGTAGTGTAGAATGTAGTGTATAGTAGTGCTGTGTATAATAGTGTATAGTAGTGTATAGTGTACATGTTGAACTTCTTTCACACCGTACATAGTCAACCGTGCTAATCAGGAGGTGTGGTGGGATGACAAGACACTCAATACAACAACAATCAGCTCTGCAGAAGTGAATTTTCAATTTAGTATAGTGGAATGTATAGTAATGTAGTGTGTAGTGTATAATAGTGTATCGTAGTGCATATTGCAGAGTATAGTGTAGCGTATCGTAGTGTAAAGTATCGTGGGATGTATACTTGTAGTTTGTAGTGTGTGTTGAACCTCTTTCGCACCGTACGTAGCCAACCGCGCTAATCGGAGTACAAATATTGTGATTGTTAACACGTATCCACTAATCGTTGCGGTGTGTATTGCTCCCTTGCTAATAATATGAACTGTTAAACTAAACTGTTTATTATTTTGACCAGATAAGGCCCCTGGGCCATCACAAATGATAGTAGCTCAACTAAAGGTTATCGTCATCATCATAACGTGGACATTTATAACAGCATCCAAAATAACAACAGCATCTTTCTGATATGCCAGAGTGTGTGTGTGTGTGTTTATATATCTGTAAGGCTCATGGTTCTGGCCAGAATCACACAGCCGCTATACTGGACATCTGTGAGAAAAAAAGAGCTTTAAAGCTCATCGGATTCCTCCCACTATAAATACGTACTCTGATGCTGTTGGCTTAACTGACTGTAATTCACATGAGCCCTGCAGTTGGCCCTACAGTGAAACATGTGACCCACAGCTTCTTTATAAATATCGGTGACGTTCCTTCCAGGCATCATGAATATTCGTTGTCGATGGCTTTCTCGTCTTTGCAAGCAGCGCCCCGCGGTGGCTATGAGATGTTTACTACCTCGCCTGGTATGCAGGAGGTCGTGGGTTCCATCCTAACCCTGACGATGCCTGCTGCTGCTGTATATTTGGAGCCTGCGTCTCTCTCTCATCATCATCATCATGGTGGCTATGAGATATTTACTACCTCGCCTGGTATGCAGGAGGTCGTGGGTTCCATGCTAACCCTGATGATGCCTGCTGCTGCTGTATATTTGGAGTCTGCGTCTCTCATCATCATCATCACGGTGGCTAGGAGATGTTAACTACCTCGCCTGGTACACAAGAGGTCGTGGGTTCTAATCCCGACCCCTGACGCCTGCCCAGTGTATATTTGGAGTTTGCGTCTCTTTCTCTCTCTCTCCGCGGTGGATTTTTCTCCGGGTCCTCCGGTTTTTCCCATCCACGTTTAGAATCAAGCATCATGCTTTCAGAATGTTTGGCTGCTGCTACAAATTTCCCATGCGGTCATGATGATGATGAGAAGCCGCAACTTGGCTTGAGCTGTGATCATTTGTGATCGCCAGGGTTGCTTCTGAACAAGAGAGCCACTACACAGCAGCTCAGCGGTGCCCTAATCTGGTAAGAATTAATATTTTTTTTTTAATTGAAAACACGCTTTAATGAAATGTACCGTACTAGTGTAGTGCCATGGATGGGCTGCACTTGCAGGCAATGACAGGCAGCCCTGAAGCAGTTGGGGGGCCGCGAGGGATTCTATGATCCCTCGCAAACACTTCCAAAGGCTGGGGGGCTGCGGCTGCACTGACCTGCAACGGCAGACATGCGGACCTCAGTGGGGTCACCCACGTCCCTCACTGTGGTCCGCACCTCGGCTGAGAAACGGATATAAGGCGAACCTCTGGAGAGGTCCAGGCAGTTTAAAAACCGAAGCAGTTGGAGACGGAAGCAGTTGGAGGCGGAAACAGTTGAAGATAACCAGTTGAAGAAGGAAGACGCTGCTAGAGTAGCACTCTGAACCCCAAGCTTCGCCGTCCTTTTAAGGGCCGAAGCTCTGTGAGGTCAGTGTTGGACCTGTACCTTGGCTGGGTCAGGTCAGGTAGTCTCACATAGTATATTATAGCCGGAGGACCTGGAGCGTAGTCGGGTTAGGCACGCTACACAGGACGCGTATAATATACCAAGTGGAAGAGGTCCTCAAGATCAACTGTATGAAGAATTAGTGTATAGTGGTTAGGGTACTTGTGGAAAATAAAGACGTGCCCCCCCTACGAGGTGTCTCCGGAGCAACACTACACTAGTAATGGAAGAACTCCACGACTCCAGGAAGTGGCCCCGAAGCTTGGCATGACGTAAGGGACCGTGGACAATTACAGCCAACGTCAGTTGACCGTGGTCAATGAGACCCACGCCGAAACATAACATAACAAAAAGATTGTTTCCAAGTTTTATTTTTCATTTTTAATGATAGAATATAGTATTGTCATCAGTGCGACATCAGTATACCAAGTTTGCAGTCGATACCACATTGGGAAGTGGGTTACAATTGAGTTGCAAGATTTGAGGATACAACAACAGACAGAGTGAGTTAATAAAAAGCGTGCAATAATAAAACGTAGTTTACGTCTCAGTTTAGCAGCGAATAGCTTTAATCCGAGTGGTCTTCCAATTCGTCGATGTTTGTTGTATGTACGTTGGACTTCTTTCGCACCGTACGGCTTTTGGCTAACCGTTGATGGGCAATGGACTAAAGATGTGAATTTTCAATTTAGTATCGTGGTGTAGTGTATTGCATGGTGTGTGTCGTCGCGTAGTGTATAGTGTCGTGTGAATTGTCGTACTTATGTAGTGGGTTCACGGGACACGGAGACGGTGGAGTAGAGGCAGCACTATTTATTTAACGTAACAAGGGTTACACTGGAAGGGGTAACGGCCCCATCACCCGTATACACGCTGGGACACCCTCTACGCTATCTAGCCTAACTCCTGTGCTCCCAGTTCCTCCAGCTACAGGCGCTAGAGGAGGCTATCTGATCTGGCCCTGGTCAAGCACAGATCACGGCACCCCACCAGACAGACCGGCCCTTAAAAGGACTCCGGCTCTGAGGCTCTGGGGCCGCACCACCGGCTTACCCTGCCGGCCCTCAAAAGGACAGCGGTCAGGGAAGTCCCAGGGTCTATCTAGCCGGTCTTCCTTCTTCACTGGTTCTTCATTCTTGGCCCCAACACACTGCCCCGAGCTCTCTGGCTCCCCGCCTTTTATACCCATACACTACTGAGGGGCGGGGCTATAGCGGACGTGGTTGTAGCCACCAAGGTGTGGCTGTGTGTTTCCTTCCCACAACACCCCTACACATAGTGTAGTGTGTATCGTTGAGGTGTAGTATGTAGTGTACAGTGTAGTTTGTATTGTGTATAGTGTAGTGCAGTGGTTCTTAACCTGGGTTCGATCGAACCCCAGGGGTTCGGTGAGTCGATCTCAGGGGTTCGGCAGAGCCCCCGCCACGGAGGTCCGGACACACATCACGGAACGTGATGGGAGTGAGCGTCCTATCTGCATGATTTGCAACGCCAAGTTGAGCAACTCTAGTCTTGCACCGGCAAAACTAAAGGAACACTTCTTGAAGCTGCATGGAGACGGGGAATACAAGAACACAACACTTGCTGAATTCAGGGTGAAGAGAGCCAGATTCGATGAAAGGGCCACTCTGCCTGCTCTTGGATTTGTACCTGTTAACAAACCGATCCTGACAGCATCGTACGAAGTTGCTTACCTGATCGCAAAGCAGGGCAAGCCACACACCATTGGTGAAACACTTGTGAAACCAGCTGCATTAAAGATGGCGAATCTGATACTCGGAACAGCGGCCGAAGGTAAATTATCCCAAATTCCCCTTTCAAATTACACCGTCAGTGACAGAATAGAAGACATGAGTAAAGACATCTTGGCTCAAGTAGTCGCGGATCTGATTTCAAGCCCGGCAGAATTCAGCCTTCAACTCGACGAAACCACAGACGTTTCTGATCTAAGCCAGCTTGCTGTTTTTGTACGCTATGTGAAAGACGACATGATAAAAGAAGAGTTTTTATTTTGTAAGCCTCTTACAACAACAACGAAGGCAGCCGATGTGAAGAAGCTTGTGGATGACTTCTTCAGAGACAACAATCTTTCATGGGATATGGTTTCTGCAGTTTGTACGGACGGAGCTCCAGTCATGCTGGGAAGAAAGTCTGGTTTTGGTGCGCTAGTAAAGGCCGATGCACCACACATCATTGTGACGCATTGTATTCTGCACAGGCATGCGTTGGCAACAAAAACCTTACCTCCAAAAATGGCAGAAGTATTAAAAACTGTGGTGGAATGTGTGAACTATGTGCGAAAAAGTGCTCTGAGGCACCGCATCTTCAGTGAGCTGTGTAAAGAAATGGGCTCTGAATTTGAGGTACTTCTGCTCCATTCTAATATTCGGTGGTTATCCCGGGGACAGGTGCTGAATCGTGTTTTTGCCATGCGTGTGGAATTAGCCCTGTTTTTGCAAGAGCACCAACACTGCCATGCAGATTGCTTCAAAAATCCTGAGTTCATTCTCATTTTAGCGTACATGGCTGATATATTCGCAGCTCTCAATCATCTCAATCAGCAGATGCAGGGTGGTGGAGTCAATATCATGGAAGCGGAAGAACACCTGAAGGCTTTTCAAAAAAAGCTACCGTTATGGAAACGACGAACAGAGAACAATAACTTCGCAAACTTCCCGCTTCTGGACGACTGTGCAAGTAAGATCGAAGATGTGTCTGGAATCGGAGATATTTCTGTATCCACGGAACTGAAGCAAACAATTGCCACGCACTTAGATGAGCTTGCAAAGTCTCTCGACGGATATTTCCCTACAAGAGAGTCATATTCAGCATGGGTGAGACAGCCGTTGACATCTGCTGTTTCAACAGCAGATGTCAATGATGAATTCCTCGACGAAATCATTGAAATTCAGCAGAGCCAGGTTCAACAGCAACTCTTCAGAACAACAACGCTCTCAACGTTTTGGTGTCGACAAATGAACAAGTATCCAGTTATTGCTAAGAAAGCCCTGGATTTTTTTATACCATTTGTTACAACATATCTTTGTGAGCAATCCTTTTCGAGGATGCTGGACATAAAAACGAAGAAAAGGAACAAATATTCTTAGTTTTTTCGGTAAAGTCACGTTGAAGAGAAACAACAAAATAACAAAATATATATAAAACAATAAAAAATTCTCACGACGTTTCGACCATAACTCAAACGGTCATCATCAGGTGTGTCGGTTTTTTTAAAAAATAAATTTATGCAAACCGACACACCTGATGATGACCGTTTGAGTTATGGTCGAAACGTCGTGAGAATTTTTTATTGTTTTATATATATTTTGTTATTTTGTTGTTTCTCTTCAACGTGACTTTACCGAAAAAACTAAGAATATGAATTACTGCAGTCACGAAAGCTTTAAATCAAAAATTAAAAGGAACAAACTTTGCTGTGAAAATGACATGAGAGTGGCACTTGCCAAGGTGAAGCCACGCATATCTGAACTGATCTCTCAAAGGCAACAGCAGAAGTCACATTGATTTCCAGGTATGTAATTTGTTGTGAGTTTATGCATTGTGTTGGTTTTATTCTTTGAACAAGGTAATGTTCATGCACGGCTCATTTTGTGTACCAGTAAAAAACATATCTATGTCTTGAATTTGAAAAAAATCACATTTTATTTTTCACCAAAGAGGGGTTCGGTGAATGCGCATATGAAACTGGTGGGGTTCGGTACCTCCAACAAGGTTAAGAACCACTGGTGTAGTGTATAGGGGCCGTCCATAAATGACGTCACGCACCTAGGGGGTGGGGGGGGGGGTCAGACATTTGTGACGATTGTGACGAGGGGGGGGTGTTTGAGAAATGTGACATCACATCAAAATGCGCAACTTTAAATAAATATAGACAGCACGATCTACTTAATTAAATGGAATTTTTAATAAATGTTTTCTCCTACAACATCAGAGTGCAGCGCCACATTAAATACATACTACAATAACAATATTTTAAAGCGATTTGAAGCATGTTTTATTTTGGGGGGAGGGGGCAGAGCTTTGTGACGTCATTTGAGGGGGGGGGGTCTGACTTCTTGTGACGCCGTGTGACGAGGGAGGGTCAAAAATCGTCCAAAATTGCGTGACGTCATTTATGGATGCCCCCATATTGCAGGATGTATCGTATTGTAATGTATAGTGTGTAATGTTGTGCGTTGTAGTGGATAGTGTAATGTACGTGTGTTGAATGTCTTTAGCACCGTACGTAGCCATCCGTGCTAATCGGAGGTGCGGGGGGAAGAACTTAACCCTGAAAGAAGTTCTAAAGAAATTAGTTTGTCAATATCGATGATGATTTTAAAGAGTGGCATAGCTCCAGTAGCTTCCTAATATAGGAAGGTTGCAGAAGTGCATCTTAAAGCGTGCGATGCGGTGACCACCATCTTTTTTTCGATGGCCAGCCAGAAGTGTAGTGTATTGTGTAGTGTATATTAGTGTATAGTGTAGTGTATAGTAATGTATAGTGTAGTGTATAGCAGTGTATAGTGTAGTGTATAGTACTCTTTGGTTCTATTGGGTAAAGTCACGTAGGTGAAAATAAAATAACAAAAAATCACGACGTTTCGGCCACAACACAAGCGGCCTTCATCAGGTGAAGGGACGAGACTGTCTGGAGGACAGCGCTGGAGTGGAAGAAGCCACGCTTAGATCACGACCTTTAAGCTGTGTGAGAAGAAAAAGACCACGCGCCTTGACAAAGGAATTAGCATATAATTTAGCATTGAAATGGCTCATTGAAATAGCTAAGTTAAAGTATACACATCCGCAGAGGTACCCCTTGACAAAGGAATTAGCGCTGGAGTGGAAGAAGCCACGCTTAGATCACGACCTTTAAGCTGTGTGAGAAGAAAAAGGCCAAGTGCCTTGACAAAGGAATTAGCATATAATTTAGCATTGAAATGGCTCATTGAAATAGCTAAGTTAAAGTATACACGTCCGCAGAGGTACCCCTTGACAAAGGAATTAGCATGGAATTTAGCATTGAAATAGCTGAGTGATTAGCTTGTAACTGGTCACAGAAATAGCTATGTTAAAGTTAGAGCATATACATTCACCGAGGCACCTAGTACTCATCAAACAGGAGAATTTAGCGAAACACAACCACGCTCAGACATCGGACCTGTGTGCGAGCAAACAAGGTGTTCTGACAAAGAAATTAGCAGAAAAATTAGCATTTGATTGGCGGATTTTAGGAAAGAGGTGGTGTACGTGCCGGTGGACTCACAGTTTGGCGCGGGGGGGGGGGGAAAGGGGGGAGGGGGGAGTTTACCTATTGATGGTGTGAAAAGGGGGAATTTATAAGACCTGCAAAAGTTTGGGGTACCACTACTTGAAAAATATACTGTACCATTGAAATTAGTTTAATGTTTAGTTCGATTTAGAACATCTTTCCAATGGTTGCTTAATTTGAAACCATCCTCTCGGTTGAAATTGTGTCTGTGTTTGTAGATCTGAATTGCTTCATGAACAAATCTCTGATAAAAGCCCGTGGGTTTGCAAAGAACCTTGGTATCGGAGAAAATTATATCGTGATCCCCCACAGCGTTGTAATAGTGATCAGCCACGGCAGAAGAATTAGTTTTGCCGTGTTTCAAATCTGATTTGTGCTCGCGAATTCGGTCAGAGACATGTCGCTTTGTCTCACCGATGTAGCAATCACCGCAGGTACAACTCAATTTGTAAACCCCGGGGTACTGTAAATCAGGAATGACATCCTTCACGCATGGGATCAGATCACGAGTTTTGTGTACTGTATTGAACCGGACCTGGATCTTGTGTTTGTTTAGAATTTTGGAAATCTTTTTAGTAACGCCTGCTATATATGGAAGTGTGATGGTTTTTAAACGTCCCTCCCTAAAACCTTCTGCTGCAAGACCCCCTAGATTCTATGGTCTTCCCAAGATTCATAAAGAAGGCACCCCACTTCGACCCATCGTATCCACGATCAACTCCCCTACCTATAGACTAGCCCGTTTTCTGTCAGATACCTTGCTGCCTTTCACTGGCAAGACCGCCTCAGCACTACTCAACTCAGCCCAATTGGTCTCTTTGGTCAAAGACGTTATACTGTCCCCTGACGATATCCTTGTCAGCTTCGATGTGGTCTCTTTGTTCACCAAGGTCCCAGTACCTGATACCATTGAAATAATTGAAAATTTGGTCCAACATGGACTAGACCCGACACACCTGCACTGGTTAGGCACTGCCTCAACAATACCTACTTTACTTGGAATGGCTCCTTCTACAAACAAAATGAGGGCACCCCCATGGGATCCCCCTTATCACCAGTGATAGCCAATATTTTCATGGAGAAATTTGAATCAGACGCCATCCAGACTTCCACCCTCAGACCTTCCCTGTGGAAGAGATATGTGGATGCTAATTTTTCTGCTAATTTCTTTGTCAGAACACCTTGTTTGCTCGCACACAGGTCCGATGTCTGAGCGTGGTTGTGTTTCGCTAAATTCTCCTGTTTGATGAGTACTAGGTGCCTCGGTGAATGTATATGCGCTAACTTTAACATAGCTATTTCTGTGACCAGTTACAAGCTAATCACTCAGCTATTTCAATGCTAAATTCCATGCTAATTCCTTTGTCAAGGGGTACCTCTGCGGACGTGTATACTTTAACTTAGCTATTTCAATGAGCCATTTCAATGCTAAATTATATGCTAATTCCTTTGTCAAGGCACTTGGCCTTTTTCTTCTCACACAGCTTAAAGGTCGTGATCTAAGCGTGGCTTCTTCCACTCCAGCGCTAATTCCTTTGTCAAGGGGTACCTCTGCGAATGTGTATACTTTAACTTAGCTATTTCAATGAGCCATTTCAATGCTAAATTATATGCTAATTCCTTTGTCAAGGCGCGTGGTCTGTTTCTTCTCACACAGCTTAAAGGTCGTGATCTAAGCGTGGCTTCTTCCACTCCAGCGCTGTCCTCCAGACAGTCTCGTCCCTTCACCTGATGAAGGCCGCTTGTGGTGTGGCCGAAACGTCGTGATTTTTTGTTATTTTATTTTCACCTACGTGACTTTACCCAATAGAACCAAAGAGTATGGATCCTAGCAGTCACGAAAGCTTTAAATCTAGAATAGTGTATAGTGTAGTGTATAGTGCAGTGTGTAGTAGTGTATAGTGTAGTGTATAGTAGTGTATAGTGTAGTGTATAGTAGTGTATAGTGTAGTGTATAGTGTAGTGCAGTGTAGTTATAGCAGTGCATAATCTCATGTAAAGCAGTGTATAGTGTCGTGTAAAGCAGTGTATAGTGGAGTGTATAATGTAATATTTATAGTGAAGGGTATATAGTATAAGGCTGAACGATTTGGGGAAAATATCTCATGGCGATTTTTCTGACAGATATTGCTATTGCGATTTGCGATGAAAACTTTTAAAGTAAAGTTTGAGTTCAATGTTGACTGTGTAATAGATTTAATACATGTGATGGAGAATTACCACATGATACAGTAAAACCTTGGATTGCGAGGAGCATAATTCGTTCCGGAAACGCGTTTGTAATCCAAAGCACTCGTACATCAAAGCACTCGTAATATATCAGTTGTGATCACGTGACGCTCGGCAGTAAAAAGCATCTACACGTACACTACTCGTATTGCAAGACCCTTGCTCGTTTATCAAATTAATATTTACTTAAAAATGTTTTGCTCGTCTTGCAAAACACTCGCAGACCAAGTTACTCACAAACCGAGGTTTTACCGTACCATCAAAGTATGAACTGCTCCATAGATTCTAACGCAAGGATGAGAACTTAAGAGATATGAATTTCTTCCAACATGTATTTATTAAAAACGTTTTAATTGAAATAGAACAATCAAACATAGAACAATTGTTAAGTAAAATAAATTTAAATGATAATGATAACAAATAAAACAATTCCAATAAGATAGTTGGAGGACTTTTCAAATCGCAAAAAATCGCAGCCTTTGCGATTTGCTAATCGCATTGTTTCAAATAGCGATTTCGATTTGAAATCGATTAACCGTTCAGCCCCAGTATAGTAGTGTATAGCAGTGTATAGTGTAGTGTATAACGTAATATATAGTGTAGGGTATAGTAGTGTATAGTGTATAACGTAATATGTAGTGTAGGTTATAGTAGTGTATAGTGTAGTGTATATATAGTGTAGGTTATAGTAGTGTATAACAGTGTATAATGTAATATATAGTGTAGGGTATAGTAGTGTATAGTGTAGTGTATAACGTAATATATAGTGTAGGTTATAGTAGTGTATAGTGTAGTGTAGAGTGTAGTGTGTAATGTATAGTGTAGGTTATAGCAGTGTATAGTGTAGTGTATAGTGTAGGTTATAGCTGTGTATAGTGTAGTGTATATTGTATTGTGTAGTGTAGTGTATAGTGTAGTGTATAGTGTAGGTTATAGCAGTGTATAGTGTAGTGTATATAACATCGTATTTTGTTTGATGGCCAGCCAAAAGCTCCTGCTGCTGTGAGGATGACCATCGGAGTTTTGCGCGATGATGGTTTGTGGCTCCTTGATGAGATCTGCGGCGAGGTTCGTTTGTGGAATGAGAGGATTTCCACTTTTTGTTCGTCTCCCCTTCAGATGGATCCACACTTCAAATTGCCGTTCATCAAGCAAGAATACGAAGAGCATCCAAACCCCGGGATGTCTCCTAACCCGTTGGTGAAACGCGAAGATGCCGATGCTGGTGAGTAAACTGAACTCGTTTCTTATTTGACCAGTTTAGGCCCCGCTGAGCTGCTGTGTAGCTCTTTTTCAGAAGCCACTTGGCTATCACGAATGATAGCTCAACGAAGTGGCTTATTGTCATCATCATCACGTGGACATTTTTAGCAGCAGCCAAATACTCTAAACGCGCGGTGATGTTGATTCTAAATGCGCGAGGGGAAAAACCGGAGGACTCCGAGAAAAATCCACGCGACCACGGGGAGAGAGAGAGAGAGAGACACGCAGACTCCAAATATACAGCAGCAGCAGGCGTCGGGGTCGGGATCGAACCCACGACCTCCTGCACACCAGGCGAGGGAGATAACATCTCGTAGCCACCGCGTTTCCCCACAGTGGCGAGATGAGTGAGCGTAAACCATCGACTGTAAATGTATAATTCGCGCAGTGAACCACCCTCAATCCTTGGTCGTGGAGGGTTACGCCACTTGCCGCGATCTAACCCAAAAACCTCGATAATGAAAGGTAAGTTCGTTTGCTAACTGTTATTTAACCATACTCATTGGTTCTTTCGGTATAGTCTCACGTGGGTAGAAAAAAAATTATAGATGACGACGTTTCGATCGCAACACACAAGCAACCGTCATCGGGCGGGACAACCACAGCAAGAATACTGTCGAAGTAGGCGAGAGAGTTGACGTGACGAGAGGTTAAAAGATACATTGTGTTGCGGTCGAAACGTCGTGAGCTATTATTTTTTGCTACCTACGTGACTTTACCGAAAGAACCACCAAAGAGTATGGATTCCTGCAGTCACTAAAGCTCCAAATTATTTAAATTTAACTTTTTGCCCGTCCATGGATGGGTGTTTATTGCAGTAAATCTGAAATATTCAATAGAAAAATTGTTCAGCTCATGATTTTATTAGACGAGGCTCGAAAGAAAGCTGTCTGTAGTGTGGACCAATCAGTTTCAAAGACAATGTCACATATTATCAGTGTGTTTTTTGTTTGCATTCTGACCTCAAGTATTGTGGTTAATGCAGTAACATGATTCCTTGTTAAAGGTTTCGGTTTGGTGTTTTAACATCTTAACACAGCTGTTCTGTTGCCAGAAAAAAAGGGGAAAACCTCTTCTCATATTTTGGTACTGGCAAAGGGAGGTCCCATGATGTAGTTCATTGGTTTAGGCCAAATATCATTGTCCGCGAAAATTGAGCTGTTCACAAGCACCTCCAGACCGCCGCCGCTCGTCGTCGCGATCGCCGGGGGAACGGCCGTGGCCACGTCAATCTCATGCCATGTCGTTCCACCAAATGGTAACGGCAGCGCTTTGACCGCGGCGCGTGCAGGAGCTGTCGCGATGCCGGAAGATGAAGAAGAGAGGCTGGGCGATGAGAATTTGAGGGTTGTGGTGAAAAGTGAAGTGGAGCAAAACGGTAAGATCCCTCCCACCCCACCCTGCCCACTCTGCCCCCCCCATCCCCCCCCCACCCCATCCCCCCACTCTGCCCCCCCACCTCATCCCCCCCATCTCCCTCCCCCACCTCGCCCACCCTGCCCACCCCATCCCCCTCCCCATCATCCTACATCAAACAAAGACGGCCACCGTATTGCCACGGTGCGTTCTGCGGCAGTGGCTAGGAGATGTTAACTACATCGCCTGGTACGCGGGAGGTCATGGGTTCGATCACGACCCTGACGACGCCTGCCGCTCTATATTTGGAGTTTGCGTCTCTCTTTCTCCGTGGCCGCGTGGATTCATGTAGACCCAGGCTCATAGAGACAACATAGAGAGAGCTACACTACTCCGCTGGCTCTTGACACGGTTGTCTGCTGGCTTGCTCACCCGAATGTGACACTGTCGTTGTTGCTCTGCCATCTACGTCAGTAGCCATTCGGAAGAAGAACAGGAGGGAGGGAGAAGGTCGCGCACCTGGAGAGTTTTTCATTATGGCTCGTGGAAACAAATGTTTAATATTTTTAATCGATGGCGATTTTATCAAACGAGGGTCCAACGTAACAGCGAGGGTTTTCGCCGTCCTCGGCCGGCGTAAACTCAGGCGAGATGCCGTGAATTCTAAAAGGTAGCAGGGTGGAAACTCGGGCGGACGAAACAAGCGTCCTGAGCTCGCCTGTTCGCCTGCTTTTGTTACTTTAGGAATCGCCCTCCCCCTCGAGACTATGGCACACGTCTTTTTTCTGAATTGTAGCTCCGGACAACAACATTTTTAATGTCGACGGAGCCAATAATGAGAGGCCAGAGGAGGATGAAGCGGATTCCTACGGAAGCCTGAACACCACCAGTACCGCAGCGGCAGCGGCAACTGACAAGAACTTCATTGAGGTGGAGTTGTTGGAGGAGGATATTGGTCAAGGTGGGTTCCCCCTTCGATTGCAGAGATGGTGGAATGTTTTCTTTATTTGTCGCCAGTAATCTGTGTCGCACGCAATTCGGGCACCGCGGTGGCTAGGAGCTGTTAACTCCCTCGCCTGGTATGCAGGAGATCCCGACCCTTGACACCTTCTGGTGGATTGTTTCACTATGCTGGGTGTAATTACCAGCGAAACGTCATCACTCAAATTGTAAATGTGGATTGATTCTCCAACACACCGGTGGGCTGAAGTAGTAAACTACACTATACACTACACTATACTACACTATACGTTATACTACACCGTACACTATACTACACTGTACACTATCCTACACTATACTAGTAACTAATTGGCACGTTGTTTACGTCACAAACCTTACTGGCCGTGTCGGGTGGTGGAGGTTTACGACACATTTATCCTTACCGCGATCTAATCCAAAAACCTTTATTGTGAATAATATTAATCGCGAAAAGCCTGCTACGTGTTAAACTGCCTCCTGTATATTTGGAGTCTGCGTGTCTCTCGCCCCCTCCCCGTGGTCGCGTGGAATTTTCTCGGGTGTCCTCCGTTTTTTTTTTCATCCACATTTAGAATTAACGTCACGCGTTCAGAGCATTTGGCTGCTGCTATACATTTCCACGTGATAAGGGGCCAGCCATTTAGTACGTACGCATGGAGGGGGGAGGGGGGGGTTAACCCAAATGTGTACGCTTAAGTATGGGGGGGTGGGGGGTTAAGCCTCGATAATAATTTGTCTACATTGCCCTTCAAATGAGTTAGATAGTCCGACTATCTGTTTGCTTGAATAGGCTAACATTATTAATCCTTGATCGTTTCTGCGTGGCTTAAATATCGGCCGTTCTACGAGTCCAGAGAGAGGCACGCAGACTCAAAATACACAGCAGGCGTCCGGGTCGGGATCGAACCCACGCCAAAAAAACTCGTGTCCGCCAGGCGAGCTTGTTAGCATCTCCTCGCGACCGCGAACAGGTCGCCAAAATATCGCGGGCCTAAAAATCTTACCGACGCCCTATTTCCGGCACCCGCTTCCTTCCCGCGCCTCGGTTAACCGACCCGCGCATTTGGCGTTTCCCGCACCCGACGCAGCCGACGAAGGGAAAGCAACGGAGCTCCTTTGCGAGGAGTGCGGCGGCTACGGCGCGACGGCGACGGCGACGGACAAGGCGCGACGCGACGACGACGGCGAGGCCCGGCGAGCTTGCGCGCGCTGCGGGAAGCCGCTCGAAGGCGCGGCGACGTGCGCCGCCGCCGCCGCCGCCGCCGCGGTCGCCGCCGTCGCCGCCGTCGCCGCCGGGAAGAAGCCGCACGCGTGCCAGGAGTGCGGCAAGGGGTTCACGACACGCTCCTACCTGAAGGCGCACGCGCGGACGCACAGCGGCGAGTGGTCGCACGTGTGCGGCGAGTGCGGCCGGGGGTTCGCGGTGCGCTCCAGCTACGAGGCGCACGCGCGCACGCACACGGGCGAGAAGCCGCACGAGTGCGCCGAGTGCGGCAAGCGCTTCGCGCGCGCCTCCGACCTCGTGAGGCACTCGCGGACGCACACGGGCGAGAAGCCGCACGTGTGCGCCGAGTGCGGCAAGGGCTTCACGCAGCGCTCCAACCTGGAGACGCACGCGCGCACGCACGCGGCGGAGAAGCCGCACGTGTGCGGCGAGTGCGGCCGGGGGTTCGCGCAGCGCTCCAACCTGGAGGCTCACTCGGCGTCGCACACGGGCGCCTGGCCCCTGGCGTGCGGCAAGTGCGGCAAGGGCTTCGCCCGCCGCTCCGACCTGGAGAAGCACTCGCGGAGGCACACGGGCGAGAAGCCGCACGTGTGCGAGTACTGCGGCAAGAGGTTCGCGCAGCACTCGAACCTGCACACGCACCTGCGCACGCACACGGGCGAGCGGCCGCACGCGTGCGCCGAGTGCGGCCGGGGCTTCGCCCAGCGCTCGCACCTGGAGGCTCACTCGGTGCTGCACACGGGCGTGTGGCCGCTCGTCTGCGGCGAGTGCGGCATGGGCTTCGCGCAGCTCTCCGACCTGAAGAAGCACCGGCGGACGCACACGGGCGAGAAGCCGTACGTGTGCAAGGAGTGCGGCAAGGGCTTCTCGCAGCACTCGAACCTGCACACGCACGCGCGGCGGCACGCCGGGGAGAAGCCGCACGTGTGCTCCGAGTGCGGCAAGGGCTTCGCGAAGCGCGGCGAGCTGGAGGAGCACTCTGCGACGCACGCGGGCGTGTGGCCGCACTCGTGCGAGGAGTGCGGCAAGGGCTTCTTCCAGCGCTTCCTCTTGGAGGCGCACGCTCGGACCCATGCCCGTGAGTAAGTCGCCCGAGTGGCGCGGGTGGGTGGGTGGGTGCGTGCGTGCGTTGAGCTTCTTTCGCCACCGTACGTGACCAACCGCGCTAATCGCAGGTGGGTGCGGACTGGGGGAAAAGAACAACAAACTAAACACAAAGGAGCAGCTCTAAAAGAAATGAGTTGTATGTACGGACGTTGAACTTCTTTTGCTCCCTACGCGGCCGAACGCGCTAATTGGAGGTGCGGGCGGGAAGGGGTGGGTGGGGGGGGGGGGGCGGCTGGGTTGAAGGACCGCAAACGATTCTCCCTGTGCGCGCGCAGAGAATGCGATGGGAGTTTTCAGGAGAGAGGAGAGACGTTTTGAAAACTTAAGACCACGGTGACGGTGCCGCGCCCAACTGTTCAGCGGTTCCGAGTGGCCAGCGTGACCGGTCTGGTGTTTTTTTTTGCTCCTGCTGTAGAATGTGAAAATGTGTTCATCGCAAACCCCCCCCTCCCCCCCCGACACCACGGCCTTTCAAGTGCCTTTCGGTAAATCCCGCAAAGCTTCTGTTGAATCGCACGATTTCCGTCGGGACTGAGGTCTGATTGAATCATCTCCTCTCGTGATGATAGGGAACTACAGTAAACCCTTGTTAATTCGACACACATGGGGCCCCGGCCTTGCCGAGTTATCCAATATTCAGAATTATGTACAACGGTACTCCCCAATGCCTCCTGCCACGATACAAATTTTTTTCCAAATTTGTTTTCCAAACTCGGGTGCGATTCCCGCTCACGGCCAAAACGGCCAAAACCAGTGACGGTTGTCTGAACCGGTCCTGGGCCTCCCCTAGGTCGACTCAGCCTCAAATTAGTACCTGGTGCGGTGTGTAGTAAACATTGCCACTGGGGAGACAAAGGCGGCCGGGCGTGGTGTTGGCCACCCACCCCTTCGTACGTCGTGCCGACCTTTGTAGGTGCTCGCTAACAGCACTTGCTCCTACAGTCTTCACGCACCATACGCATTGACACACGCCCCCGCATCCATTTTATCCAAAGCTTTGGATTTGTCTCGCACGCCAAGGGATTTATACTTCAGTCCCTTTCCATTACTTCTTGATGTGGGCGTAGACGACATTTCTGAGAGGCTTGGCTTGCACAGAGTGCACATAAACAAGGTGATGTCCAAAGCGACCGGTCTGCACTAACGCTCACCACGAGCGCCACCAACGGACCGAGTCGTTGTTTTTGGTCGTGGCTCTCGGCGTTGCTCCACGCGCTATGCCGAAATTGGACCATTCGGTACGGCAATTCGGCTCGCGGCCAATCACTAATACACGCCGTATATATGCCGAAAGGGCAGCCGTGCCGAATTATCCCCAATTCAGAACGATCAAATACCGAAATAACGAGGTTTTACTCTACAGTGTGACTTTAAATGGTGTTTTCATGTGTTAGAGAGCGGCTTTTGATGCTTTGTTCGGGCTTTGGGAAAGCCATCCCGAGGAGTATTATACTCCACACAAGCACGATGCGACATGTTATGATTACAATCTCCATTGCAAATTTATATCCATTAACTCCACCCCCCCCCCCTCCCCTCTGATCTTCGCACTTGATTGGCTCACAAGTGAAGGCATTACATTACGAAACAGCAGGATTTCTCCACATTTTTGGCTGTATCGCCTGATGATGCTGGTTGCTGTTGTAATTACTGGCGGCGAAACATCACGGCTACTCGAATTGTGAATGTTGTAGTGGGTTTTACTCTCCAACACACAACCGGTTAGGGCTGTACTAGTAACGAATTGCCCACGTTTTGTTTACGTGACAAATCTCACTAATTGGCTGTGCCGGGTGGCAGCGAGTTTAACGACACATTTATATTTACGCAATTTAACCCCAAGGAAAACTCTTATGGACAACATGGGATCTGCTCCTTTGCAACCAAACACAGCGTATGATTAATTACAATAATATAAAAACAAGTTGCATTTGTAAAGGTGGCTCATTTCGTCCGTACCCAATGCGTCACCGTATATTGAAAGCAGGAAATAAACAGAACCACGGTGGCTAGGAGATGTTAACTACCTCGCCTGGTATACAGGAGGTCGTGGGTTCGATTCCGATCCCGACGATGCCTGCTTTCTATTTAGAGTTCGTATCTTCTCTCTCCCCGTGGTCGGGTGGATGTCTCTCTGGTTTTCCCCTCCGCATTTAGAATGAACGTGCGTTCGGAGTATTTGGCTGCTGCTAGACTTATCCACGTGGTTATAAGCCACTTCGTTGAGCTGCCATTTGTGATAGCTAGGTCGCTTCTAAAACGAAGAGCAACGTAGCTCGGCGGGCTTCACCTGGTAACTTAAAAAGTTTAAGTTTGGTTTATGCCATAACTAGGGGGTGAAGGCCAGATTTTAAAAAGAGGTGCGTTTTCAAGACAGGACTTAAAACGGTTCAAACGACTCTGATTTGCCTCGTGGCCACAAAGGCAAAGCGTTCTTCCAAAGCTCTGGGGGCTGCGCGGTGCAGAGGCAGGAGCCCCGTCACCCCTGCGGTGGACAGAGAGTCCCCCCCTTGACCTCGGAGCTCTTGGAAGAAGGCGACGCGAAGATCTCAGGGGGGAGGTCGTTGGAGAGTGACTGAGGATCGGTGCCTGTAGATATTGCGGGGCTGACCCATTGAAGAGCCCGTCATCGAACCTCGGACGACACCTCGCCGAATACGGTTTTCCTTCTGTTTAAGACGTAGCGGTAGTCGGCTTTCGCGACCAATATTATCCGTATTAATAGAGGTATTTTTTTTGTGGGGGTCAGATCGCGTGAACATTAACGCGCCGTTAAACGCGCCACCACCCGGCGGGTTTAACGACGCGTTTGTATTTACGCGAACTAATCCCGAACCTCGATTTAAAGCTTTCGTGACTGCAAGGATTCATCTTCTTTGGTTCCTTCGGTAAAGTCACCACGTAGAATGAGAATAAAATAATAAGTTAATAAAATAAAATAACACAATAAAAATTCTCACGACGTTTCGGCCACAACACAAGTGCCCTTCGTCAGGTGAAGGGACGAGACTGTCTGGAGGACAGCGCTGGAGCCACTTGTGTTGTGGCCGAAACGTCGTGAGAATTTAATTGTGTTATTTTATTAATTTATTATTTTATTCTCATTCTACGTGACTTTACCGAAAGAACCAAAGAAGATGAATCCCAAACCGTTTTTATGTTGAAGCTTACCTTCTACACCCTCCCCACCCACTCCCCCTTCAGAAAAGGGCCGTTGACTTAACCTGTCTCCTATGTTATATACACATACACAGGGTGCCCAAAAATGAATGTACCCGAAAGAACATTGATAGTCGTGTTGCTTTATTCGAGATACTGACGGAAATGCAACATGAATGCACGCAATATAATTGATAGGCTTTAGGTTGTTTCACTTTTGTATGCTATTGATTAGACCATTTGGTTCTTAACCTGAGGTGCACGCACCCCTTGGGGGGGTGCAAGATACCCTTTCTGGGGGTGCGAGACAAAGGCCAGATTATCTTCGAAGGTTAATAATCGAAAACACAAATTAAGCACGGGCACGTAAGTAAAAAAAATGTCTTTATTTCATCATACTCTATGTGCTTATTAGCATTGTACATTTTAATTAAACGATTGAGAACTAACAGGGATGCAAGGCTGCAGTGAAAAGGTTAAGAACCACTGGACTATATGGCCGCCGAAATTCGAACCTCCTGCAGGGGGTTCTGAGCGCACCGCATGTCGCCCCCAAATGTGTTTTCTTTTCCACCCCCCCCCCCCCCCCAATGTGTGCAGATACTCCTGGGTTGTTCCTCAAAGTTCATTAGATATATTTTAAGTCGCCCTCCATCCATAACCGCAACTATGAAAACTCTAAATAAATGCTCAGTAAGTGGAAAGTTATGCATTGCTGGATAATGGATGAAACAATAATTGGAGAAACAATAATTTGATTGATCATACTGGTTCGGTAGGCTCTCATAATTTGTTTGACGGACAAGTGGACAAATGGATAAACAGATAAACGGACTGATGGAACGCCGGGCTTTTATACGCTGATGTCGCCCATTATTCGCTATGACCAATCTAACTGCTGAGAAAACATTTTCCAACAGCTGTAGGGATGGATGATGACAGCATCAACATCAACCTACGCCGTTCATAAGTTTTCCAAGGTCCCTTGCTTTGCTAGTTGGAGACTTAACTTTCTTTACAATAACAAAAAGCAACAACAAAAAAGCAGAGATAAAGCTAAAATCTAACGGTGTGAAGTAGTGTGAACGGGGGTCAGACTTGTCGTCATATCAGACAGTGGGGGTTTCTCTTGAAGCATAAAAGAAAGTGCCCATCAATATTCACAACAGACCAAAACTTGGAAGTCCAATGCATGTAGTCACATCACATTCGTGTCAGTCCCTCCAATAACAATACAACTATTCAACTTACTTATATGGTATGTTCATTTTTAGACAATCTGTATATCTTTTAAAGGCCCCCCACACTCACATACACTGCCGTTGAGTTGCAACGTGGTTTTGAATTCTGTTCGCATAAACGTCGGGTCGGGAAAATAATTGGCGACTGGCCACGCTCGGAAGTTAGCGTGGCTTTGGTTTCCCACGCATTAGAAAGGGACGTCTTGTTTGATGAATGAAAGATTATGAAAACATTTGTAATGCTTCATTACCCCTGTCCGGCAAATAATACGCAGGAGGCGTCGAGATGTTCCAACACCGTTTAGACAACGCCGTTCGCATGGCATCATCAAGTCTGCATTCGCCACACACACTTTGTGGTCAAACATGCAAACGAACGCGCTTTGATGTATAAATGTTCGCATTGCCCTCGGAACTGATTGGCCCGCACCAGAGACGGCCATCCTTCTTTGTCTCGGCTCACCACCGGTGTTAGACCGGGGAACAACGCCAAAAAGGTGAACAGTACAAGGGCAATGCAACCGAAACATGCTTTGATAATGATGTACGCATTGTGCTCGGAACCGATTGGTCTGCACCAGAGACGGCCATCCTTCGCGGTCTAGGCTCACCACCGGTGTTAGACCGGAGAACAACGCCAAAAGGCGAACGGCACAAAAGGCAATGCACAATATGAAAGCATTAATAGCCCGGGTTGAGCAGTTCTTTAACGTCTGACGTGATCTTTTCTCATCAACCGTGTCGCATTCAATTCCGTCTTTTGGGGAAGCAACTCGTGCCCCATCGCATCATCACATCACTGTGCTCCTGCTGACGATGCTGACGCTTGCTGCCGTTGAGTTGCGAGCAATACGGCGGGCATTGAAAAAAACATTTCGAGACACGAGACGAATTCGCATTCGCACATCAATAAACATCATATCAATAAATCTCTTCCACTGCTTTCACTGTCATTGCTCCATCGTCGTCATCATCATCGTGAACCCGCGTGTGCGATTGTGTGCGTGTGGCTAATGTAAGGCTCCCCTCGGGAAAGTCATGTTGGGCTAGTTTAATGCCCGAGTGGGTCCAGGCGCAGGCACCTCGGCTGGAGCGATCTGAAGGTATGGGCCAGATCGGCTCAATAACCACAGTGGCGAGACGCTCACTACCTCGCCTTTTATACAGGAGTTCGTGGGTTCGAGCCAAACTTGCCCGTATAGTTTGAGTTTATATGTTCTCTCTCCTCATGGTCGCGTGGATTTTTCTCCAGGTCCTCTGGTTTTCCCCTCCACATTTAGTATTTGGCTGCTATAAATTTCCACATGACGATGAGCCACTTCGTTGAGCTTATTTGTGATTGCCAGGTCCGCTTCTGAAAAAGAGCTACATGGCTCAGTGGGGCCTTACCTAGTAAATTAAAATAAAGTTTAGTTTAATAACAGCGGTAGCAGGAGGCTGCAAGAAAGCTGTGTAACCCATGGGGTTTTAATTACACGCTGTTCTGGCATTGACATACACACAACATCATGGATGCACGCCGTGTCCAAGCAAGAACGTGGAGCTGATAAGCCCATTGACATCCTCTATAGACTAAACTATTTTTTGTTTTGCCAGGTAAGACCCACCTGAGCCATATAGCTTTTTTTCAGAAGTGACATAGCCACAAATGATGGCTCACCGAAGTGGCTTATCACGTGGAAATCTAGAGAAGCCAAACACTCTAAACGCACGTTTCTAAATGTGGAGGGTAACACCGGAGGATCTAGAGAAAAATCTACGTAAACCAGCCAACGCAGCCTTCCCTGCCGGAGGAGCTCACCGATGGGACTTTGTCCAGATCTGCAAAGATTTGTGAGCTCCTCACACAATCCAGCCTGCTGGTTAAACCCAGGATGGATCACAGACATGCCACCCTGAATGTTTCTAACTGGCGCAGATGTTCCATGCGGGGGGATCCACGTTTCGCAAGCAAAGAGAAGGGAGGGCATGACCGTGGCCGATAAGACCCAAAGCTTTGTGCGGAGCGACATGCCAGGTAGCTTCCACATGGGGTTATGCAGCGAATGAGAAGATAATGCCGCTCGACTGATTCGGAGTAAGACCTCTGCTGCTAAACCGGAGCTGGTCATAAGCACCCTGCCCAGGTATGGGGAAACTCTTCACTCTCTCCACAACTGCTCCATCACCAATTGGGAGTTGTGGGGGTGGAGTGTCTGATGGCACAAGATAACCAGGTAGGTGCTTAATTTTGGTGGGGTTGATGGTAAGGCCCCACCTCTTGGTGGCACACCCCAGGTTCAGCAGCAGCGTCTCCAACTCCTCCTCTGAGTGAGCATCAATCACCAGATCATGATCATACGTAACATGGTTGACGAATAGGGAGCCATCCCTCGACCGCACCTGGGCATCGATGAGCCTCCCATTGTATACGTCCTAGATATAAATTCCTCCGGTACAGCCATGGGAAGCTTCTCAAACTACTTGGCCAAAGATGACGTTAAAAAATGTGGGAGCCAGAGGACATCCCGGTCGCATCCCAAGGTGAACAGGGAATAGCTCCCAAACTCCCGGCCACGTCGTTTTACCCGGGCCCGCCCACCCATCGTGAAGGCCCTTTGCTGATCGTGAGCGGAGAGTCGGGGACTCTCCGAAAGCACGAAGAACTGCCCACAGCCCTGGCCTGTTGCTGGTATCATAGGCCTTGACCAGATCAATAAAGCAAGAGATGTTAGGTCTTGTTGGAATTACCTCCACCTCTGCTGCATAGCGGACGGGCAGAGAGAATAAGGCACCCGTGCAGGACCGCCCAGGTCTAAAACCCACATTGGAGGCTCCGCAAGCCTCTTCTCAGCGTTGCCACCTTGGCAAGGCGATGTTGAATAACCCTGGCCCCAGGGACTTTGCGGGAGCTCACAATGAGGGGAGAGATTGCCCCTGGAGTTGTTGCGCCAGGGGGCCTCCTTCCAAATCCCCGTGGATCCCCGTCCTGTGGTCCAGACTGTCGTGAAAGATGTCATGCAGGGCAGTCTGCACGCCTCTGCCACACCACCAACAGAGTGAGTGTTGGGGCAAGTGCTGCTAGCGAGCGCCTATGTAGGCTACCGGCACTGTGGCACACGAGGGGGTGGGTGGCCAGCACCACCACGCCAGGCCGCCTTTGTCTCCCCAGTGGCGATGTTTTACCGCACTGCACCGAGTGCACATTTGAGGCTGGGTCGACCTAGGGGGAGGCCCGGGAGCGGCTCGGATAATCGTCACTGGCGGTGTTGGCCGTGACCGGGAGTCGAACCCCGGGGGTCATAGCGTAGCGCTCACCGCTACACCACCGCTCCCCACACTCACACACACAGCCCCCCCCCCCACACACAATCCACCACCACCACACAGCCCACCACCACACAGCCCCCCACCACCACACAGCCCCCCCCCCCACCACCACCACCACACAGCCCCCCCCCCACCACCACCACCACACAGCCCCCACCACCACACAGCCCCCCCCACCACCACCACACAGCTCCCCCCCACCACCACCACACAATCCCCCACCACCACTCAACAGCCCCCCCCCCCCCACCACCACCACACAACCCCCCACCACCACCACACAGCCCCCCACCACCACTACCACACAGCCCCCCCCACCACACAATCCCCCCCACCACCACACAGCCCCCCCCACCACCACCACACAGCCCCCCCACCACCACCACCACACAGCCCCCCCCCACCACCACACAGCCTCCCCCACCACCACACAGCCCCCCCCACCACCATCACCACCACACAGCCCCCCACCACCACCACACAGCCCCCCACCACCACCACCACACAGCCCCCCACCACCACCACACAGCCCCCCCACCACCATCACCACCACACAGCCCCCCCACCACCACCATACAGCCCCCACCACCACACAGCCCCCCCCCACCACCACACAGCCCCCCCCCCCCCCCCCCCCCCCCCCACCATCACCACCACACAGCCACCGCACTAAAACCTCTCTCTGAACCGCGTCTTGTCCCCCATCTACGACGCAAGCTCCGCCACCCCCCCCCGCACCACCACCACCCGCCTCGTCGTCACCGCCCGACGTCACCGGCGACGTCATCGGCCACGCCCCTTTCTCGCCCGCGTAGCTGCCGTCCCCTCGGGCGCGTCTTGTACCGAGCATCGAGTCGCTTCGGCCCCCTGCAGGCGCGCGGTTTCCCAGAGGCCCCGTTCCTCTCCTCCTCCTTCTCCTCCATCCCACCACCTCCACCACCCCACCACCTCTACCTCCTCCTCCTCTTCCTTTGTGGAAGAAGTCAGCGGCGGCTGCGGCGGCTGTGGGTGTGAAGAAACGACTCGGAGAGAGGTTGTTGATTCACGTTCCCACTCCACTCCCTCCCTTCTCTCTCTCTGGCTCGCACTGTGGTTCACAAAGAGGCTCGCTCACCATCGCTCGCACCGTCGTTTACGAAGATTCGATCGCTCTCCACACCGTGGTTCACAAAGAGTCGGATTCACATTCAATCACTCCCACTGTGGTTCACTGTTGTTCACAAAGAGTCGGATTCACATTCAATCACTCCCACTGTGGCTCACTTTGGTTCACAAAGAGTCGGATTCACATTCGATCTCTCCCACACTGGTTCACAAAGAGTCGGATTCACATTCGATCTCCACACTGTGGCTCACTGTGATTCACAAAGAGTCGGATTCACATTCGATCTCTCCCACTGTGATTCACAAAGAGTCGGATTCACATTCGATCGCTCCACACTGTGATTCACAAAGAGTAGGATTCACATTCGATCGCTCCCACACTGGTTCACAAAGAGTCGGATTCACATTCGATCTCTCCACACTGGTTCACAAAGAGTCGGATTCACATTCGATCTCTCCACACTGTGGCTCACAAAGAGTCGGATTCACATTCGATCTCTCCACACTGTGATTCACAAAGAGTAGGATTCACATTCGATCGCTCCCACACTGTGGTTCACAAAGAGTCGGATTCACATTCAATCACTCCCACTGTGGTTCACTGTTGTTCACAAAGAGTCGGATTCACATTCGATCTCTCCCACTGTGATTCACAAAGAGTCGGATTCACATCGATCGCTCCCACACTGTTGTTCACAAAGAGTCGGATTCACATTCGATCTCTCCACACTGTGGTTCACAAAGAGTCGGATTCACATTCGATCGCTCCCACTGTGGTTCACAAAGAGTCGGATTCACATTCGATCTCTCCCACTGTGATTCACAAAGAGTCGGATTCACATTCGATCTCTCCACACTGTGATTCACAAAGAGTCGGATTCACATTCGATCGCTCCCACTGTGGCTCACTGTGGTTCACAAAGTCGGATTCACATTTCCTCTGCGATTCACTCTCTTGTCTCTTTTGTGCTGCGTTCACTGTGGTTACAGGAGGTGCCGACCACCCCCGGCTACACGGGGGACCTTTGCCTTTGTGTTTTCATAGGCGCTGCTGCTACTCGCCACTAATAGCACTTGCCCCAACAGTCTGTTACAGGCTATGCAGGGGATCTTTGTTTTATCTGTGGCATTTATACAGGACCATGAAAGGGCGGTCCTGCACAGATGCCATATCTTCTGTCCAGCGTAGAGAAATCCAACAGGATCTACATCTCTGTTTTAGTGACCTGGTCAAGGCCTCTGATACCATCAGTAGGCCTGGGCTCTGGGTTGTTCGTGTTTTCGGAGAGTCCCTGACTCTCTGCTCACAATCATCAACGACCTTCATGATGGTGAGCGGGCCTGGGTAAAACGACGTGGCCAGGAGTCTGAGCCATTCCCTGTTCACCTTGAGGTGCGACAGGGATGTCCTCTGGCTCCCACATTATTTAACATCATCTTTGACCACGTAGTTTGAGAAGCTTCCCATGGCTGTACCGGAGGAATTTATATCTGGGACGTATACAATGGGAGGCTCATCGATGCCCAGGTGTGGTTGAGGGATGGCTCCCTATTCGTAAACCCATGTTATGTATGATCATGATCTGGTGATTGATGCTCACTCAGAGGAGGAGTTGGAGGTGCTGCTGCTGAACCTGGAGTTTGCCCCCAAGCGGTGGGGTCTTACCATCAGCCCAACCAAAACGAAGCACCTGCCTGGGTATTTTGTGCCACCAAACACTCCACCCCTTCAGCTCCCCATTGGTGATGTAGTAGATGTGAAGAGAGTGGATAGTTTCCCCATACCTGGGCAGTGTGCTAATGACCGGCTCCGGCTTGACAGTAAAGGTCTCACTCCAAATCAGTCGAGTGGCATTATCTTTTCATCGGCTGCGTAACGCTGTGTGGAAGCTACCTGGTCTGTCACTCCACACGAAGCTTCGGGTCTTGGCCCATAGTCATGCCCTCCCTTCTCGATGGTTGCAAAACGTGGAACCCCCTAATGCAACACCTTCGCCGATTATAAACATTTCGACTGACCTGCCTATGATCCCTCCTGGGTTTACCAGGCTGGATTGTGTGAGCTTACAAATCCTTGAAAGATCTGAACAAAGTCCCATCGATGAGCTCCTCTGGCAGGCAAGGCTGCATTCGCTGGGTCATGTAGCCCGCATGCCCAGCCACCACATGCCTAAACAGCTTTTGTTTAGCAGGATAGAAGGGGCACAACGGGCACGGCACGGGCTAGTGTAGAGATGGAGTGATGTGGTACAATAGGATGTAGAGCTGAGTGGGCTTGCCGATGACTGGTACCAGCGGTGTCAAGATCGGCCTCTGTGGAGGAGGCTCGTGTAGGACGCTACTGGGCAGTTGGAGGCAGTCGCCCTTCAGCAACAACCGAGGGCAGAGGAACGACACTCACAACAACAAGCGGAGCACCGGGTGGCTAAAACACAGCAAGTTGGCACAGTAGGGGGCACAGGTGGTGCATCGGCCAGTCATCTCAGTCAATCAACCCATGGCACCGGGGTCTGTCCCGTGACCTGCCAGCAGGCGTTCGACACTTCTTGTGGCCTTCACGTGCACATAGCCTGGCACAAGCACCGTGGTGACATCATTGCCAATGGCGGCTGTTGTATATGTATGAAAGCTGCCAGCCGAGTTGTACACAGTACAGTGTTGTATCTGTGGATCTTTATAACTCTGCGTGTATCTCCGTGGATCTCTATGTGTGTGTGTATGTATCTATGTGTGTATGTATATGTAAGGCGGCCGGGCATGGTGCTGGCCACCCACCCCCTCGTGTGCCATTTCTGCCTTCGTAGATGCTCACTAACAGCACTTGCCCCTACAGTCTGTTAAGCCTATACGGGGGAACGTTGTATGTATCTGTCTATCTGTGTGTAAATCTGTGGATGTATCTCTGTATCACAGCCACCTGCCGAGTAGTACACGCACCTCACGCACTGCACGGTGCGCACGCAGCCCACGGTGTTGTAGGTCCCGCACCCGACCGCGTAGCCACACGCCGCGTGAACTCAAAACCGCACGGCAGCGCAAATTTCGGGGAGAAAGTGGGGTTTCGGCCGCACGCGACCGCCGAGAAAATAAATCGCACGTCACGGCGAGCCCGCGTGGGGCGGCTAAGGCGGCGGGGGGGAGAACCCCGAGCGAGCGAGCAAGCAAGCGTGTGTGTGTGTGGAACATCGAATCGGATGTCGAAATTGATATAATTTTTAATTTCGCTTTTAATTTTTGGCTTGCTCGCTCCCGCCCCTCCCCGGCCAGATGGCTTCGCACATTCAATTGCCGTTCATCAAACGAGAGAAGGACGAGACCGCGGGCCTCGGGATGTGGCCCGACTCGATGGAGAGGCCGGAGGACGTCGACGCCGGTGAGATCGGCGGCGCCGGCACTTGTCCTCTCCATTGCCGGTGCTGCCCCGGTGCTCCCTCTCGTTCTGTCCGTGAATCCTTTCGAGGAGTTGGTGGGGGGGGTGGGAGGAAGGGACACGGGTCGGTTAAATGGACAGCAACAACAAAAACTACATTAGAGACCCCACCCCCCCCCCCCCTCTTAGCAACGCTAATTGGTTCCCACGATACGGGTCGTCAAGCGATTTTGTTCATACGGCGAGTGTAGGAAATACGGCGGTCAAAGGCTTAATTCGTTCCGAAAGCATCGAAAGTTACCCCCTTTTTCACCCAAGAAACGTACTTTCAAATATTTAAACGATGGATATTAATACATAAAGATACTAACATTATAAACACGTAATGTTTAAAGGAATGCGGTTAATCGATGCATTAATATTTACTGTACCTGCAACAGCCCGTCGTTTACAGCGGAATGGTCGTTAAGCGAACACACTGGGCTCTATGGAGGCAGTACACTCCTATACACGACGATACATTACTCTACTATACACTATACACTATACACCACTACACATTGTGCTCTATGGAGGCCCATCGTCAAGCGATTAGTCGTTAAAAGGGGTGGTCGTTAAGAGGGGTTCTACTCTACACGACTATATACTATACACTACACTACTATACACTACACGACTATACACCACTACTATAAACTACACATTGTGCTCTATGGAGGCCCATCGTCAAGCGATTAGTCGTTAACAGGGGTGGTCGTTAAGAGGGGTTCTACTCTACACTACTATATACTATACACTACACTACTATACACTACACGACTATACACCACTACTATAAACTACACATTGTGCTCTATGGAGGCCCATCGTCAAGCGATTAGTCGTTAACAGGGGTGGTCGTTAAGAGGGAATTCTACTGTAACAAAGTTCGGAGACGATGAGTAGTGGCTCTGCGTCGTGCTGTGAAGGGGGGGGGAGACTCCCACAGCAGCTGAGCACCAGGACTGTGTGGAGAGGTGGTGGGGATTGTGAAAACGGCAAAAACTTTCATTCACAAGTCCTCTACAGAAGGGGCAGTGACGTGTGATCGGAGACCCAAAGATCCCCCCATATAGCCTTACCAGACTTGGAGCAAGTGCCGTTAGCGAACACCCATCAAGGCCGACGCGGCACGCCCGGCCGCCTTTGTCTCCCCAGTGGCGATGTTCACACACTGTACCAGGTACTCATTTGAGGCCGAGTCGACCTTGGGGAGGCCCGGGACCAGGTTCAGATCATCTTCACCGGTGTTGGCCGTCAGTGGGAATCGAACTCGGGTCGCCGGGTTCGTAGCCCAGCATAGCGCTGACCGCTACACCGCCGATCAGAGAGACACCCTCCACGTCACAAAACTCCGCAGCTCAATCTTCTCAGCTCGAAATCCGCCCAATTCTAAATTGGGGGGGGGGGGGGGCGGGCGTGCCTCTTAACTGTTGTACACGTGATGCCTCGGGGTCCAATCCTTTCACTTGAATCATAATAATAATAAATAATAATAAAAACACGCACCTGGCTTACACGTAGCAACCAGCAGAGCGCAAAATCGTGCCGTGCGGTTCATCACAGTTGAGCTAACACACCGGCTACATCTTTACCGCTTGAACCTCGTGATTTGTCTCAAGTGAGGCTTGCCAGTCTCATCGGTGTACTCCTTTTGTGTTTGTGTTAACATCCCCTAGCCACCTTGGTGGCTAGGGGATGTTAACTTCCTCGCCTGGAATACCGGAGGTCGTGGATTCCATCCCGACCCTGACACTGCCTGCTGTTTATTTGGAGTTTGCGTCTCTTTTTTCCTTTCCTGTGGAGATGTTAACGACCTCGCAGGAGGTTGTGGGTTCAATCCCGACCCTGATACCTGTTGTATATTTGGAGTTTGCTTGTCTCTCTCTCCATAGTCGTGTGGATTTTTCTCCGGGTCCTCCGTTTTTTTATTTTTTCTCCACATTTATAAAAATGCGTTTAGAGTATTTGGCTCCTGCTATAAATTTCCACACGATGATGATGAAAAGCCACTTAATTGAGCTATAATTGTGATGGCCAGGTCGCTTCTGAAAAAAGATTTACTACATAGCAGCTTAGTGGGGCCTTACCTGATGAAATAAAATAAAAAAAACTGTCTTGTCATATGGCTGATGCAGATGCAGAGCAACAACTATAATTTCACGTTAAGGTGGTCAAGCCAGGAGCAGCGGAGTGCATCGCAACGATGTCTCTTTCGTATTTGAATGATTAGTTAAATAGTTAGCCAAGGAACATCTGACTTCGGGCCTAGATCTAGGTTTGGCCAGAACAAAGGCTCTGCTTTGTTTTTTTGTTTGTTTTGAGAGCAGAGCCCAGGTACAGAGAATCCTCATTCAACGCGATCGCAGGAGTGTTTTCTCAGGACCGTTATTCACATTGCATTGCGGTTCTTGAAAGAGTTGATCATCAATTATCCGGCTTCTAACATTATCCGGCTGCGGTCCCGGTACGATCCGGCAAATCCGCTCCAAAGGCTGTAACCAGTCCGGCGATCGGCACCGTGTAGCATCACAAAACAAGCAGCTACGCTTGATTTCAGTGTTCTATTAAACACGACGTACAACAGCTTGGACAATGAAAATACCGCACGTATATATACATCACCCCGTGATATGCAGAGTCTTCGAGATTGGAGTGGTAAGTACGGTATAGTAAAGTCATTTTTTTAAAGTAGGATATTTATATTTGTATGTTTATGCGAATTTCAGACGGTCTACAAATTGAAAACATTCAAAACAACCATATACACACACCTACAAACAATAATGTCGTACAAGAATTTGCAAAAAGAAGCAATTTTAAATAATGATGATTTAGCGATTATCGGCCGTTTTTTTAAAATCCGGTGCCCCCACCCCTGCATGGATAATCGACGATCTGTCCACAAACAAACAGCAAAAATACAGGGCTCATCGTGGTTTACGCGTTTTCATTGCCGTGTCGATTCTTCGCCAATCGATCCGTGGATCAAAGTAACGATGTGACACACCATTCTGGCGAATTGCCCGCTGATGCTGGATGTAATTACCAGCGAAACGTCATACTACTCAAACTGTAAATGCCGTGGATTCACTCTTCAACAAGACACCGGTGGGCTAAAGTAGTGAACTGTTTTGTCTTTTGTCAACGCGACACTCTTTTGCCGATTGGCCGTGTCGGGTGGTGGAGGGTTACGACACATTTATAAATAACGCGATCTAACCCAAAACCTTTATTGTGAATTACACGCCCCCCCACCCCCACCTTTAATTTGATTCTTTAGTATCGGTAAAGATCGTTGAATCCGTCACGGTCCCCCCTTTTTATTGTACCGAATGACGGAAAGAAATTGCTCTTCTTGCTGGTTGGATTGCCGATCCCCTGCCCCCACCCCCCCCCCCCCCCCCCCCCCCCCCGTATTAAACCTCCCATTCATAATCTAACGATTGTGCTTAATGTTTTTTTGTTTTTACTTTACACGAACACACGCACGCAAATTACAGCGCAGGATTTGACGATGATTAAAGCCGAGGGAGCCAGGGTGAGGCCGGAGGAGGCGGGAAGCTCCCACGGATTCCTAGCCGCCAGGGATCGGAGCTTCATCGACGCGGAGTCGTCGCCGAGGAACGTCGGCCAAGGTGAGTCCGCCCCCGCCGTGGCGCGGATAATACGCGGCGAGGTGTTCGCTCCCTCGCCCTGGTACGCAGGAGGCCGTGGGCTCGATCCCGACCCTGGCAGATGCCTCGTTTTGTAATATGCCGCCGAGGTTGCGTTTCTCTCCGGGTCCTCCGTACCCCCCCGCCCCTCCACGTTTAGAATTGATGTCACGCGTTTTAAGAGCTATTTGGCTGCCGCTATGAATTCCCAAGTGGTGGTGGTGATAAGCCGCTTTGTTGAGTTGTCATCTGTGGTGGCCAGGGTCGCTTCTGGAAAAGAGCTGCGTAGCTCAGAGGGTCTTACCTGGTAAAAATATGAATAGTTTAGTTTTATTCATATATATTTTCGTGAATAACTTGCCTTTCCTATACTTTTGGTCTTACCTGGTAAAAATATGAATAGTTTAGTTTTATTCATATGTATTTTCGTGATTAGCTTAACTTTCCTATACTTTGGGTCTTACCTGGTAAAAATATGAATAGTTTAGTTTTATTCATATATATTTTCGTGAATAGCTTGCCTTTCCTATACTTTTGGTCTTACCTGGTAAAAATATGAATAGTTTAGTTTTATTCATATGTATTTTCGTGATTAGCTTAACTTTCCTATACTTTTGGTCTTACCTGGTAAAAATATGAATAGTTTAGTTTTATTCATATGTATTTTCGTGATTAGCTTAACTTTCCTATACTTTGGGTCTTACCTGGTAAAAATATGAATATCTTCTTTGGTTCTTTCGGTAAAGTCACGTAGAATGATAATAAAATAATAAATTGATAAAATAAAATAACACAATAATATTCTCACGACGTTTCGGCCACAACACAAGCGGCCTTCATCAGGTGAAGGGGGGCGAGACTGTCTGGTAGGACAGCGCTGGAGTGAAAGAGCCACGTTCAGATACGGCCTTTAAGCTGTGTGAGAGGAACAAAGCGCCTTGACAAAGGAATTAGCATATAATTTAGCATTGAAATGGCTGAATGATTAGCTTGTGACTGGTCACAGAAATAGCTATGTTAAAAGTTAAAGCATACACACCCGCAGAGGCACCCATTGTTAAAGGGATTAGCATAGAATTTAGCATTGAAATAGCTAAGTTAAGGCATACACCAATGGAATTAGCATAGAATTTAGCATTGAGAAAGCTGAGTGATTAGCTTGTACCTGCTGCAGAAATAGAGCTTGTACCTGCTGCAGAAATAGCTACGTTAAAGTCAGAGCATAATGTAGCTATTTCTGCAGCAGGTACAAGCTCTATTTCTGCAGCAGGTACAAGCTAATCACTCAGCTTTCTCAATGCTAAATTCTATGCTAATTCCATTGGTGTATGCCTTAACTTAGCTATTTCAATGCTAAATTCTATGCTAATCCCTTTAACAATGGGTGCCTCTGTGGGTGTGTATGCTTTAACTTTTAACATAGCTATTTCTGTGACCAGTCACAAGCTAATCATTCAGCCATTTCAATGCTAAATTATATGCTAATTCCTTTGTCAAGGCGCTTTGTTCCTCTCACACAGCTTAAAGGCCGTATCTGAACGTGGCTCTTTCACTCCAGCGCTGTCCTACCAGACAGTCTCGCCCCCCTTCACCTGATGAAGGCCGCTTGTGTTGTGGCCGAAACGTCGTGAGAATATTATTGTGTTATTTTATTTTATCAATTTATTATTTTATTATCATTCTACGTGACTTTACCGAAAGAACCAAAGAAGATGAATCATTGCAGTCACGAAAGCTTTAAATCGAAAAATATGAATAGTTTAGTTTTATTCATATATTTTCGTGCATAGCTTACCTTTCTTATACTTTGGGTCTTACCTGGTAAAAATATGAATAGTTTAGTTTTCATATATATTCGTGAATAGGTTACCTTTCCTATACTTTGGGTCTTACCTGGTAAAAATATGAATAGTTTTATTCATATATATTTTCGTGAATAGCTTACCTTTCCTGTACTTTGGGTCTTACCTGGTAAAAATATGAATAGTTTAGTTTTATTCATATATATTTTCGTGCATAGCTTACCTTTCTTATACTTTGGGTCTTACCTGGTAAAAATATTAATAGTTTAGTTTTATTCATTTATATTTTCGTGAATAGCTTACCTTTCCTATACTTTGGGTCTTACCTGGTAAAAATATGAATAGTTTAGTTTTATTCATATATATTTTTTCGTGATTAGCTTACCTTTAATATACTTTGCGCTGCTTAGCCGGATGTAGACTTACCTGTGATGATAATTGTGCACTCTGCAGCTATAAATTCGCACGATGATGATGATGATGATAAGCCGCTTTGTGGAGCTATTTTTGAAGGCCAGGTCGCTTCTGAGAAAATAATTAGATTAACAAAATGAGAGAGCGGTAGACAAAACGCTCAAGATCACTCGTCAGGTTTACAGGATGGGTCAGAGATATTGAGGACTAAAATGGTCAAAAAGATTAAAAGTGCAAGTTTGTAATTACATGGAACAGAGGGTAAATTGCATGTTGTGAATTGTAATTTTGGGTTTGGTCGTGTTGTGTAAAAAAAAGTGTCTAAAACCATCCTCCGCCCGACGCAGCCAACGAATAAAAAGCGCCCACCCCCTCCGGTGAAATCAAACGTGCAAAATATTCGAACAGGGATTGGACCTCACGTCGCACACGTGCGCGTCAGGCCACGTCCAAGACAGTCGAGGCTTTCATCCAGCAGCGGATAGACCACAGCCGGCGACGAGCATGTGCGGGACTAGGCCTCGTGACGTCCGGAGGCGGTGTCGTGCACGCCGTGACGTCCAGGTGTGCGTGACGGTGGGCGGGGGGGGGGGGCAGCCATGTTCAAAAACCCCTTGCATCATAAAACGTGATGTGGCAGGTTGAATGATGGGGGTCACTGTGGAATGTCTTGGTTGACGACAACGTAACGGTCACAACTCGTGTTGTTAAACAACAATGAAGGCGGGCGGGGGACAAAAAAACAACTAAAAATAGACGCATGCTTATTCCATCGCCTATTGTCGATTATCATTTAAGTCCGAATGTTGTTAGAAAAAAATGCAAAGCATCTACCATGTTAAAATCAAGGAAGGGTGAATAATAGGCCTTTAATAATAAATATTAAATAGCCTTTAAGAGAAATGAAAAGGTTTAAAATACATGGGACACACAGGAGCAGCAACCGCTGGCGCAGGTGCCGTGGTGACGCAGTAACGAGACTGGTCACTCAGAGAGTGAAGTGTTGTTGTTGTCATCTGCTGTAAGCCCGCCGCTGTGTACGTGTTAAAAGTAGCTATGCAGTGTGTATGATGCGGCTGTTGAAACTATTTGTGTTTATTTAAGTCAATGTGTAGTTGTTGTCATCTGCTGTATACCCGCCGCTGTGTCTGTGTAGGTATACAAAGTTGTTCTGCAGCTTGTGTGTGTTATGCGGCTCTCTTTGGTGATAGACAACAACAAATAAGGCAACAACAACAAATGGCCCTTCTTTGTCTTTGAAAGGTTGGCCGACCCCTGGGCTCGGTAGTGGGCGGTGTTGATTATAGGTGAAAATACCGGAGTGAAGTCACAAACCCGGGGGCAGGGGGCAAATGGTAGTTGTTTAATAACAATGAGTACAATAAATAATACATTGTAAAGGGGGTTATGATGATGATGATGATTTGACGACGATGGAGGTAGTGAGGAATTTAGGAGGATGACTCCTCGGGAGATGCAGGCGTCTGTGATAACGACGCCGCGCAGTTTGTTATCACCTTAGCACTCGGGGTGGGGTATAGTGCTAGCATTCGCGTTCTTTTTACATAATGGATCTCACGGTCGACTCGTTTTATACCAACACGTACAAAACGAGCCGGCTGTGAGTACGCACGGTATGGAGTAAAAATGCAACTGGTAGCGAGTTCATAGCGGGGGGTTCACTACGAGACTGAGGACACAGCAGGCAGCCGAGGGGAACGTGTGCCTCATCTTGGCAGACGGTTTCAAATGTAGTAGCAACATTCTGTGCACAAACCTCCTCCCCTGGTGTCGGTGGTCCCGGCACTACGTACTACAACTCGCGAATACCGGAATCCGGCATGTCGCAAATTGTGAATTGGAACGCCGCGGTGGCTGGGAGATGTTATCTTTCTTGATTTGAAGCTTTCGTGACTGCAGGAATCCATACTCTTTGGTTCTTTCGGTCAAGTCACGTAGGTAGAAATAAAATAATAGATCACGACGTTTCGAGCTCTCTCCCACCTTGAAGACGATTGCTTGTGTGGCGAAGATGTTATCTTTCTCACCTGGTAGAGTAGGAGAGGTTGTGGGTTCGATCCTGACTCTCTTTGACGCCTGCTGTATATTTTCGAGTTCGCGGGTCTCTCTCGCCCCTTGGCCGCGTGGATTTTTCCCTCCACATTTAGAATCGACGTCACACGTTGAGCGTGTCTGTCCTCTGCTATACATTGCCAGGTCGTGATCATAAGCCACTTGGTTGAGCTGTTGTCATTGGTGATAGCCAGGTCGCTTCTGAAATGGAGCTACATAGCTCGGTGGGCCTTACCAGGTAAAATAAAAAAAGATCTAGTTAATTAGTATGCATGTAGTAACTCGCAAATATGCGAAACTCCCAAATCCTGAAATCCTACGTAGCCAGGGTTTCTCATAATGAAACCTTGAGGCCCGACGCTCTTCCGCCTTGTTTTTAATTTGCCTCGTTGTGTGCGGCAGGTGAAGGCAGCTCGGTGGGGCCGCTTTGCGTGGAGTGCCGCAGGGACTTTGGCGGGCGAATGCGAACGAAGGCGGACGGGGCGAAAAGACCGGGCCAGTCGCCGCGCGGCTGCGCCCAGTGCGGCAAGAAGCTCGGCGCCGTGTCGTCGTACGTCGGCCGCAAGAGACGAGCCGACGAGAGGCCGCGGCCGGGCGCGACGCGCGCGGACACGGGGCCCCTGCCCCCGCCGCTCCTGCCGCCCCTGCCGCCCCTGCCGCCCCTGCCGCCCGTCGGCACGTCGGCGGGGGACGAAGGGGCGGCGAGCGCCCCCGGCGAGAAGCGGCACGGGTGCGGGGTCTGCGGCAAGCGCTTCGCGCAGCGCTTCCACCTGGAGAGGCACTCGCGCACGCACACGGGCGAGAAGCCGTTCGTGTGCGAGGAGTGCGGCAAGGGCTTCGCGCAACGCTCCAACCTGGAGACGCACGCGCGCACGCACACGGGCGAGAAGCCGTACGTGTGCCAGGAGTGCGGCCGGGGCTTCTCGAAGCGCTCCACCCTCGAGAAGCACGCGGGCAAGCACCTGGACGACGAGAGCCCGCACGTGTGCGGGGAGTGCGGCAAGGCGTTCGCCCACCACTTCCACCTGGAGAAGCACTCGAGGAAGCACGCGGTCGAGAAGCCGCACACGTGCGCCGAGTGCGGCAAGGCGTTCGCGCAGCGCTCCAGCCTGGAGATGCACGCGCGCACGCACACGGGCGAGAGGCCGTACGTGTGCCAGGAGTGCGGCCGGGGTTTTTCCCACTGCTCCTCGCTCAAGAAGCACTCGAGGACGCACACGGGCGAGAAGCCGCACGTGTGCAAGGAGTGCGGCAAGGCGTTCATACAGCGCTGCGCCCTGAACATGCACGCTCGCACGCACACGGGCGAGAAGCCGTACATGTGCGTCGAGTGCGGCAAGAGGTTCACGAAGCGCTTCAACCTGGAGATGCACTGCAGGACGCACACGGGCGAGAAGCCGCACATGTGCACCGAGTGCGGCAAGGGCTTCACGGCGAGCACCGACTTGAACAAGCACTCGAAGACGCACACCGGCGAGAAGACGCACATCTGCAAGGAGTGCGGCAAGATGTTCTCGAAGCGCTCCACGCTGGAGACGCACTCCCGCACGCACACGGGCGAGCGGCCGTACATGTGCGAGGAGTGCGGCAAGCGCTTCACGCAGCGCTACAACCTGCAGATGCACTCGCGGACGCACACGGGCGAGCGGCCGTACATGTGCGTGGAGTGCGGCAAGGGCTTCTCCCAGCGCTCCACCCTGGACACGCACTCGCGGACGCACACGGGCGAGAAGCCGTACATGTGCGTGGAGTGCGGCAAGCGCTTCGCGCAGCGCTACAACCTGGAGATGCACTCGAGGACGCACACGGGCGAGAAGCCGCACGTGTGCAAGGAGTGCGGCAAGGGCTTCTCCCAGCGCTCCACCCTGGACACGCACGCGCGCACGCACACGGGCGAGAAGCCGTACATGTGCGTCGACTGCGGCAAGAAGTTCACGCAGCGCTACAACCTGGAGATGCACTCGAGGACGCACACGGGCGAGAAGCCGCACCAGTGCAGGGAGTGCGGCAAGGGCTTCTCCCAGCGCTCCACCCTGGAGACCCACGCGAGAACGCACACCGTCGAGCGGCCATACATGTGCGTGGAGTGCGGGAAGAGGTTCACGCAGGGCTACGACTTAGAGATGCATTACAGAACGCACATCGGCGAGAAGCCGCACATGCCCCAAGATTGCGGGAAGGGCTTCATGTGAAATTGTCATCGGCGAGTGCGAGATTTATAACCGCCGTGCTCCGGTGGGGAAAACCGTTGAACCGCAGCGGGTTTCCCCCTTCGAATTCGAAGCGAGGATTCGATGCATGTGTCCGAGTAGTGAAAATTGATTTAATATCCTGAATTGTTACATCCCCGATGGTGTATGGACAAGTTATTTGTTGTCGTTAATCTTCTTCTTCGTATATTCAATGTTGTTGCTGTGGAGCGGCGTTTCTCAAAATAACTTTTCTTTGGCCCGCGAAACCGCTCGGCCGATGCAAACATTTCCGCGGAACGCCCAGACCAACCCCCCCTCCATCATCCATCCCTGCCGACGAAACGCATTCACTTATCTCTCTATAAATCCAGGCACTCCTCCACTTACGAACGAGTTAGGTTCCAGAGGTACTGTTGTTAAGTCGAATTGTTCGTAAGTTCAACTTTACTCCCTGTCGATTACAAACGTGTTGTACAGCACGTACACTAAACACAGGGAATGGCTTTAAAAGTTGTATAATCTCCTGTAGATGTGTAGATAGATGCCACCGGCTTTTCTTGCTACCACCCTCAACACTTTCACCACTCTTATGCTCCTGCGACGCGCTGGTGGGTCAATGATGTTCGTGAAAGAGCAGAGAGAACATCGGAGTGAACCGCACAGCGACAACGCAAGAGCAACAGATGATGGCGGCGGCCCAGGCAGAAATGCTGGGTAATGAAAGGGAATGCTAGGTAATGAATGGGAATGCTGGGTAACGACACCAAACAGTCAACGCCATCTGAACAGGCAAGTTCGTAAGTCGAATGTACGTAAGTGGAAGAGTCCCTGTACCGGTCATACAAAATGATTCATATTCACGGAACTTAAAAAAAAACAATTTGAATGCAGCTATTTGGGGAGGGGGGGGCATATAGATCTTAGGGTTAGGTTAGTTTGATCAGGCGTAGTTTACCTAACTTAATACTTTTTTTTATTAAATATCACGAGCTAAGATGTTAATAACGTCCATGACAAAAGGTGTTTATTTGCGGAGCAACCTGCGTTTGCATCACAGCCACCGCGGGGTCCAGCCGGAGGACAGTCGGGGTACCTCCGATTGTCCCGGGGGTGACCTCCGGTGGTCCGGGGGAGTCCCTCTGGTGGTCCCGAGGGTACCTCCAGTTAATTCCGGGGAGTACCTCTGGTGGTACCGGGAGGAACCACACTTTAACCACACCACTCTTGTGTCGAGCAGCGACAACTATAATTTCACATCGACGTGGTCAATGAAACCGGACCGTTGCGTCTGGAGCAGCGGAAGGTGTTTCAGTCATCGCCATTGCGATGATGACACCTCCTCCTCCGTGTTTGTGAATCGGGCATCGAGTCGCTCTGTTCTGGGTGACGATATTCGCACGCCAGAGATGTATATATTTTTCGTTTGTGCATCATCTTCAAGTTATCCGGTTTGCGCTTTTTTTTATTGCCGTTTAGAGTCGTGCCCGTCAGGGGTCGTTGGGTGGTCTCGTCGCTGCGTTTGTCGTTCATGACAGCGGTTTGTTGCTTAAGTCGCGTTGCGCCAGCCGAATCCGAGCGGGGTGTTGTGTTTCTTTATTTATTCAACCCACGTCGTAAGTGCTTGACATGGGGCGGCCACCCTCAACTCTTCAAATCGGGGTTGTCACCCACTTTAGTGGTTTTTGTTGAGATCAACGGCCGCAGCTGCGTGTGCTCTTGCGGTGCTTGGCCAGCAGGGGGCAGTGGAGTCCTAATCACCGACGGCGCACTGACGGGGGTGGAGGGGTTTCTGTTGTGTGTGCGGGTTGACCTAGTTGGCACAGTAGGGCGGCACAGGTGGTGCACTGGCCAGTCGTTTCAGTCAGTCGACCCATGGCAGCTGCTGGGTCTGCCCCGTGACCTCCTGCCGGCGGGGCTTCCCGACACTTTACGTGGCCGTGGCGTGCACCTAGCCTGGCACAAGCGCCGTGGTGACGGCACCGCCGCTTAGTGGCGAATGGCGGTTGTTGTTGACCAGCGGGCTGCTGAACAACGTCCGGTGACTGGGCGACGTTTGTTTGAATGATCGATTGGCTTTACCTCCGTCAAGGGGGAGTGTCTTGCTGTTGATGGTGAAAGAGAGGCACACACACATAAGGCTTTGTTTGACGAATGCAGTAGGTCCTCGTTTAGCGTGCTAGCTAGCAGCAGCGTCGCTGAACAGTGCCGCGCGAAGGGATGAAACACATTTGGGCGAAAACGAATGCCCCCGTCGTAAATAGCGTACCGCCGTTTGCCGAGATGCGACGTCACGACCACGCACGCCACGCCGTGAGATGGCGAAGGGGTAAATAACCGAGGGTTGCGCCGCTGTATCGTTCCGCGTCACCGTATCGCACCGCATCAAGAAAGTAGCTCGTCATCGTCGACCGCTCAGAAACCGCCGTTTATAGCAACGGGTGCGAGTGTTCCGCGTTGTCACGGTACGCGTCACAACGGGCATGTCCCGCGTCACAACGGGCATGTCCCACGTTCTAACGGAGCGCGTGCGCCCCGCGGTATGACGGCGTGTGCACCGCACGTTGCGACGTCGCGCGTGTCACGCGTTGCAACGACGCGCGCGTCACTGCGTCGTTCGAAAGAGTGTTCCTCCAGTGGAAGAAGAACGTCGCCGTAGTGAAAACGCGTGGCACGGCGGAGTTCGCGCCGCCGCCATCTCACGAGCCAGGCGAGGGACTTTGCCGCACTCCGCCACGCTGGACCGGCGTGGGCTGATTATAGGGGGGGCGATGTTTGCCGCCGATGTTATATATATCCGGCTGCCGGAATGCCCAGAGAAAAATCACGCACAACAGGGGAGTTTGTACGTACGTTATGTATGTTGAACGTCTCTGGCAACCGTACGGGGGGGGGGGGGGGGGGGGCGGCGGGGGGGGGGGGGGTGGGGCTAAACGCAACAACAAGTGTAGTTTTGACTTAAAAAACTTTCGTGACTGCAGGAATTCAAGTGTAGTAGTTATTAAGAAATAAGTTTTGCTAATTCAAATGATTTAAAATCGCACAGCTCCCAGTAGCTCCCTATTGTCGGAATGAGGAGCGTTCCAGGCGGCCGCCGAAGCGCGTCTGAAAGCAGCAGCGCGATGATGGGGTGGATGTGGCGGAGTTTGTTCATTCGCGGGGAGAGAGGGGTGGGGGGGTCCCATCCTGACCCTCTACCCCCCCCCCCCTCCGCGCCACCGTCCCCCTAATTTTCGGCCGTCTACGCATCTCCCTTTATTATTCACTTGGTGCCAAACGCCACCTCCACTCTCATCGTATCTACACACGTGTATATATGGCGCCTTATGCTTTATGAGCAATCGTTTAAGCAAAACTCAAACGAATGGTACGTCGCGTGATTGTCTTTTAGAAAGAGTGGGGGTTATTTTAAAAGGCGCTGGCGGCGGAGGGAATGGTGACCCTTGAGAGAGGTGAAGGAGTGGTTGGGGTCGTGATTAGGGGTAGCATTTGTGAACTTCTTTCGCACAGTACGTTGGCAACCGCGCTAATCGGAGGTGTGCGGCGGGAAGGACGACAAACTAAACGCAACGACGAGAAGCAGTTCTAAAGAAACGAGTTCATCAATTGATGGTGATGACGATGCTTTAAAAGTGCAGCATAAGTCCAGTGGCTTCCTGGTATCGGAAGGAAGAGCAGCGTTCCAGACAGCCAGCCGAAAGCCGTCGCCGCTGGTAGCGAGGATGACGACCAGGGAGTTGGCGTCACTACACACAGCAACCACCTTGTCACTTGTTGCAACCGACTGCCATAAGTTGGGGGGGGGGGGTTGCCTGGGACCCCCCCCCCCCCCCGTCGTTTGCGTCCACTCTGAAATCTCCCCCGCGGTGTCCCCCTCGACACTCGGTGACACCGTCCTTGTCCCATCTCCATCGAGCAACCCGCTCCACCCCCCCCCCCCCCCCCCCCCGCAACAGCCACGAAATCACCTCGCCCCGTCGCGTCAACCCCTTCGACGCCCTTCGTCCTCAGCTCGGTTCCTTCGCCTCCATTGCCACTTGCAGTCCCTTGCATTGGATCCTCCGCCATCGCCATCACCGTGGTGGTGGGTGGGGTGTGTGGGCCTACAAAAATCGCCTGGCTGGCCTGTGCCCACCGCCTCCTCGTTCTCGGTCGTCCGTCGAGTATCGTCCAACTCGGCGGTCCCCAACCTTTTTGGCACCAGGGACCGGTTTCGTGGAAGACATTTTTTTCACGGACCGGGGGGGGCGGGGTTCATCATTGGGTCTTTCCCCCTTTTCAAAGAAGCTCTCCAGCAAAGTTTTTTTTTACTCATTTTGGCCAGGGTCAGCTTGTGGGCTTACCAAAACCGTGACTGAGACAAGTGCGCAGTGCGGGAAAGAGGCGCGGACGGAAGTGGTAAATAATAAAATAATGGGCGGGCCACGCACGGACTCACCGCTCGCCACCTCCTGTTGTGCGGCCCGGTTCCTAACAGGCCACGGACCGGGGGTTGGGGACCCTTGCAGTGTAGCTCGCCGGTGACCCCCACCACCACCCCCCCCCCCCCTGTGCAATGACTCGCGGTGAGAACTCTCGGCACGAGCAGCGTCGGCATCACCGCGACGCGCAACCTCTCTTACACCGAGGAGCCAGGCATGTGGTGGCTGCTTAGGCATTGTTGTAAAATATAAAACTCAACCCTTTAAAAAAAATCCAGGTTAAAGCCCCAACTGAGCTGCTGATAGCTATTTTTTTTTTGCAGAAGCGACCTAGACGCAAATGGTGTCTCAGCGAAGTGGCTCATCCGGCATCATTTGGACGTATGAAGCAATTGGCAGGACCCCGGGGTCCCATCACTGCCCCGGGGTGGGAAAAACCGCGTAGCGACACGAGTCTTGCCTTACAGACAACAAAACTAGCGTCAATCGATTGGCCTCGTCAAGAACTACTCGGGGCACTAAGTTTCGTAAAAAGTTGAAAAATTACAAAAACACGTTAAATTCACTGCCTGGGGAGCGGGCTCGCCTTGGCAAAGAAGCTGAGGATCGACGGCTGACCGGAGGGCGTTGTCGCCGCGCGCGACTGTGGCGGACGCCCCCCGGGGCTTGCGTTTGGCCGGTGGGGTGGCGCCCATCGTGTCGATCGCCGCCTGCTGCTGGCGCT